GGCCTGTTGGATTCATGGACATAAAGTTATCCCTGACAGTGCCTGGGTGTCCCCCTTTGGGACCTGAGGTGCTTTCTTTCACTGATGACCTTGGTATCTGTGTTCTCTTTTCTCTAACTCTCTCTCCCTCAGATCACAACGGTAAGAGTTTATAAATTTTATTCATGTCTTCAAAGAACCAGCTTTTGACTTAATTTTTGTTCTTTATTGACTTTCCATTCGATTTCTTGTATTATTTACATTAATCTCCTTTTGGAAGGAGAACAGAGCTGGAGCATCACACCGTCCTAATTTTCAAAGTGTATCACAAAAGCTGTATTCCTCCTAGCCATGTGTCACTGACGTGAAACAGACATGCAGACCAATGGGGGCGAATCCAGAGCCCAGCAACAGAGCCCCGTGGGGGGGGGGCAGCTAGTGTTTTACAAAGGAGCTAAGAATCCTCACTGGGGAAATGATCATTTCTTCAACAAATGGTATTGGAAAACTGGGTAGCCACGTGGAAAAGAATGAATTTGAATCCGTGTATCATACAATACACAAGAATCAACTAAAATTGAGTAGATTCAAATGTAGAACCTGAAACTGTAAAGCTCCTAGAAGAAGACGTAGGGGAAAGCTCCATTACATTGATCTTGACCACAGTTCTTGGATATGACACTTAAAAGCACAAGCAACCGAAAAAGCAAAAATCAACAAGTGGGACCACATCAGACTAAAAGAACTCGTTCAGCAAGTGAAGCAAAATGAAAAGACAGCTTACAGCATGGGAAAGAATATCTGCAAACCGTGTATCTGATGAGAGGTTAACATCCAAAATACAGAAGGAACTCACACAGCTCAATAGCAAAAAATAAATAATTTCAAAACGGACAACAGAACTGAATCAACATCTTTCCAAAGAAATGGCTGTGGAGAAAATGGAACCCTGTACGCTGGTTTGGAGAATGTGAATTGGTGCAGCCACTGTGGAAAACTGAGTGGCGTTTCCTCAAAAAATTAAAAATGCAACTACCATATGATCCAGGAATTCCACTTCTGGGTGTATACACAAAGGAAATGAAGTCACTGTCTCAAAAAGACATCTGTGTCCACATCTTCATTGCAGCATTGTTTACAAAAGTCAAGACATGGAAACAGCCTGTGTGTCCATGGATGGATGAATGGATAAAGAAAATGTGATACACAGACGCGCGCACACACACACACACAGAATGGAATATATTATTCAGCCATAAAAAAGAAGGAAATCCTGCCATTTGAAATAACATTGATGAAATTTGAGATCATACACTAACTGAAGTAAGTCAGGCAGAGAAAGACAAATAGCATATGATCTCACTGTGGAATCTAAAAAACCCAAACTCATAGAAATGGCACATAAGATTGGTGGTTGTGGAAGGTGAGGAGGGGTGAATGGGTGAAGGTAGTCAAAGAGTACAGACTTCCAGTTACAAGATGAACAGGTGCTAGAGATCTAATATACAGCCTGGTCTGTATAGTTAACAATATTTTATTGTAAAATTGAAAGTTGATAAGAGAGTAGATCTTAAAAGTTTGTGCCACATACGTTTAAAAAAAACTGTCTGAGGTGATGGATGTATTAGATAACCTTGTTGTAGTAATCATTTTGCCATAATTGTATATATGAAAAAAAATTGGGCAAAAGACCTAAACAGACATTTTTCCAAAGTAATACAAAAGGGTAACAGGTATATGCAAAATTGCTCAACATTACTGTTCATCAGGGAAGTGCAAGTCATAGCCACAATGAGATATCATTTCACACCTGTCAGGATTGCTCCTGTCAGAAAAATAAGAGAAAAAGTGTTGGTGAGGATGTGGAGGAAAGGGAACGCAGGACACTGGCTTGGAAAGGATGTGAGAGCAAATTGTCTTTTATCTGGGCGGTACTCTGCTCACAGTTCAGATTCCTGGTGCGGTCTGGGACTCTGGTTGTGCAGGCATTCTGCGAGCTGCCCTGTTGTCAGGGAGGGAGACCCTGTGAGGCTGCACGGCGTGAAGTAGGGCGTTTCGCCAGTGGGGCAGCGTGTAGTCTCCCCAGGTGAAGGGTGGGTGCCAGTTCCTCCCCGCAACCTGGAGCACATCCAGACCAGACAGAGGATGGGGACCAAACCTCCACCAAGTGAAGCACATAATATGAATTCTTAAAATAGGTTTTGTGTTTGCAAGTTTCATTTTATTTATTGAGGACTCACTAAGAATCCCCATAGGAACAGGGACACAAAGAGCAGTGAGAGCAAAAGAGAGAGTGAGAATAAGGTATCCCAACAACCGAAAGCTTGAAAGAGGCTTCAGCGCCCCTTAGGCGTAGTAGGGTCGATTTGTGGCACGTTCCCCGTGGGCAGGCAGCAGGCTCGGCCGTCTAGACATCTCCCAACCTGGATTTCTGATTCGATGCAGAATTCGTGGCAGGAGCCATTGGGACGTGCACAGACCTCCCTGAAACCGCTGCTGCCTGCACAGAGAAGAGAATTACTGTAGCGATGTGTTGGTCTCCCTGCATTTTTATTCAGTTACGTGGGGGGAGGGAGGATCTGGAAGCAAAACCTTGAATGGATTTTTCATTGTTATTTGATCTCTTAAAATTCTGCTTTCACACACAAAAATATTGGATTTTTGACATTCTTGTAAAATCTGGCAATATTGAATGCAGCTAAGTAATGGATGGGTCGACGGGGTAGTCCTGCCCTCTGCACACTTCCAGGGCACCCCCAGCCTTCCTCACTCCTTACCTCCTAACACTGGTGGCAGAGACCAGTTTTTATTTAATATTAGTCTTGCACTGCTGACTTTCCTAGAGTAGAAGAAACATTTTAGAGAAATCTCTTTCTAGGTGCGCACGTATGTATGTGTATCTTTCGAAAGTGGAACTGAAATATAGATCCGAAAGATAGTACACATCAAGGAAATTAGAAAGGATATTTTTCTGGGGGGAAGGGAACAATCTTCCTTCATATTTAATATGCAGGCAGTGCCCGTGTTAGTATTTCTTACATCCTGATGCTGCATTCACTCTTCTTTCTGGCACTGGTCTTTGAGGTTTCGATCTGCTGCAGAAATCATTGCATACACTAAGGGTTCTTAAGGGCTGAAGAAACATCCTTATTAAAAGCGTTGAATAGTATTTGATTTATGTCCTCAAATATTACTCTCCTTCAGGGGGTGGGAGTCATACATAATGAGGTGCTTGGTTTCTAAAGTGGTTTAATTCTGAGCAGTCTCCACTGTAACAAAGTGCACCTTTCACATGACAATAGAAGAAGTATCAAAACCAGCACTTCTTGATTTTTCTGTTCTGGAACACAAAAGCCAATTCTTGAATAGCTTCAAATCAGTATAGGGCATTTACAGACATTCAACAAAAGCCCACTGAATTAAACTGAAATTCAGATGCATTAAATTGAATTTAATTATTTAATGTTCACAAAGCAATTTTATATTTTATTAATGGATATGAAAATCAAATATGCAACATCATATTTTTATCTAAAATGTGAACTGGAAAATAATTTTCAGGGTTTTTTTTAATCAATAGTCACTCTAAGCATTGAACACTATGCAGAAATCAGCTAGAATCTGAGTGTTTCATTCCCTGGGCTGCTCGTCTCTTCCTTTTCTCTGTAACTAGCTCAACTGCTGTATATATAGGTCCCAGTCACCTTGTGTTATAATCAGCCTATTGCCACTAGAAGAGTCACCTGAAATTTCAGAGCGTGAGTCACTGACAGGTCTTGTGATGAGTGACAGTCACCCGTGAACACCCCTTCATCACAGTGCTTCCTGCGTTCTGCTCTGGTGTTGATTTCCCATCTGACCTCACTTCTCGATGATGTGTTCCCTGAGGGCAGGACCCACATTTCATTTTTCTCTGTATGTATATCCCAGAACCTGGCTCAAGTCTTGGCATTTAACAGGCATTCAATAAATAATTGCGGAATGATTGGTTAAGATAGAGCTATTTTCCATCCTGTGGCATGTTTGTGTAGAAACGTGTTGTCCCTCTCAGTGCACGTGTCTTGGAATTATGTGTGCAGTTTTGCTGCAGTTGGAGACTGAGTATTAAGTTTTCCAGTCACAAAGGAGATGTGTAAAAACCTGACATACAATCACCTGTGTGTAAGAATCCAAGTCACATTAAGGGCATGTTTCTTACTTTTTTGTTTTAATTAGTTCTTTGCTAAGGAATCTTGTATTTTGCGTATTATGAGCACACTGTGACTTCCAGCTATTTACTTTAGAAACAAAAGTTAGAGTTACAGTGAGCGTGACCGAGGATCTTGTCTAATTAGTTACCTTACAGATGAGATTGAGAAAAGGAAGCTGGTGGTCCAAGGTCACATAGTGACTTAGAGAAGAAGAGGAAAGGGGGTGTATTGTGCACAGAGGGAAGATAGTCAGTAATACTATAATGGCTTAGTATGCTGGCAGGCAATAACTCGTGTTATTGCAACTGTAGGGGAACAAAATTGGCCACCCCAAAATGTCCCTTTGGCATGCGAATTATTTTGAGCTGAAAACAATCAAAAGCTGAAAATATTCAGGAAGGAACTTTGACCGTCCCCCTAACTGCCAAAAAGTATTTAGATAGAGGCCCTTTTCTGGAAATGAGCCATCACCAGAGACATCTGCAAAGAATATGGACTGAGCATGGCAGGGCAACTTGGCAAGGCCTACATTGCAGAGTTGCTCTGTGTCCTGCTGTCTCTGCCCCGTCCAGCAAACATTTGTCCTCCAGATGCTTGCTTTCCTAGTACCATGTGCATTGCTTTCCCCACCTTGGAAGTCCCAAACCACTACCCACAACATCCTCTTTTGTCTTTAGCTGAAGATGGTATTTAAGGTGAGGACTTTGGCCATTTTGGCGAGTTACCCAGTTTTCCTAGATCTCGTTCATGAATACATGTTATTAAACTTCTGTTTGATTTTTCTCCTGTTAATCTGTCTCATGTCAATGTAATTCTTAGACCATTTGGAAGAGCCTAGAAGGGCAGAGGAAACTTTCTTCCTCCCTGACACAGCGATCATTTCATAAAGTATAAAAATATCAAATAACTATGTTGTATACCTGAGACTATTGTAATAGAGTATGTTAACTATAACTCAGTTAAAAAATAATCAATTAAAAAAACAAAATTCTGACGTTTCAGAATTTGGTTAAAAGCATTCGTCTCATGGAAATATGGGTGCGGGACATAGATTTAAAAACATGTTAAATGGCTTTATCCCACCACACCTGTATATTGAGTGAGATGACTGCTGAGTCAGCGTTAATCAGACTGGCCTTCAGCAACACCACGTGGACACAATTATCTTTTAAGCTTAAGCCACCAGCTTTGTGTGCCCCTGAGTCAGTATCATTGGACATGGCATCACCTTTCACCAGTGATCAGAGTCATACAAGAGAAGCAGCAGAATGAGTGGAACCCAGGGCAAGACATTTAACAAAAACCCGCACATGAAGACAAAGCCTTGACTGACACTTAGCTCCCACTTCCACCTTGGGGAGGCATTCACTTTTCAGGGCCTCAGTTTTTCCTCTGTAAAATAGGAAGAATGGACCGGATCATCAAGATCTTTTTGAATCTTGTCAGTAAGTGATTTTACAGTATCTGCAGCTGCAGTAGCTCCGCTGCTAATTGTGACAAGGATAGCTGTTCTTTTGTTGAAAAAAAGTAAGTTTGCATTTGTTTAAAAAATACTTATTCTTCCCTTAAAAAAGAGAGAAAGCATTTTCAAGTTAATTCATAGTGCTCAACGTGTCTTACACATCAGCGCATCACAATGGCGTGGTAGCCCACGTAACCCCAGCCCTGGGAGTGTAGCTCCAGACCAACCTGCCATTCATCCCAGGTTCCTTGTAGGGTAAGGGGGAGCGGATATATTTCACACATGTGCAGAGTGCGAGCGTGTGTGTGCACACACGTACACACCCACAAGGAATATTGCTATTCTGGGAACAGTGAAAAGTGCAGATGAAAACCTCAGATAGAAAGCCTCAAACACTCTTACTGCTCATCTAACCCCTGGTTTTCCTTCTCAAGCCTGTTGCTTCCACCAGAGCCTTCAAAGCTTAAGCTTCAAGCTTTCAACCCTTGTGATGCTTCTGGCTTTGTCTTTCTTTCACTCATGTTGTTTCTCTACTGGCTCTCACTCAGAGACCTCTCCTCTCTCCTGGGGCCAGTGCTCTGCTGTGAGGGCTGCTTGGCTCTCCCCAGGACTGGCCAGCAGTCAGAGCAGCTGGCCTATGACTTCTTGGAAGCCAAGGGCCATCATATCTTACTTTCTTCGTATGTCTGCTTCATAGTCAGGGCCTCGCATTCAGTGGATGCTTAACAGATATCTTATGAGCGGAACTGTTTTCCCACCTCCAGTCTCTCCCCACTTCAGCCTCTCCCCTCTGCTTCCTTGCGATCAGCTGGAAGCTAAGTTGGAATTGCCTCACCAACTGCCCCCCACCTCGGACCCTGCCCACCAGCAATGAGCAGCCCTCGAAACACAGGCTCAGGCAGGAGGGTCTGGGCTCATCAGGACTAGGCGTGCCTCCCACTGGTCTTCTGTTGGAAATTTGGGGAAGTCTCTATTTGCAAACAACATAAAGCCTAGCAATCTATAGTTCCCTGAAATATCGGAGGACCATCCGCATTCGCACAGCTGTGTCTGCCTTCCTACTCCTTCCCAGCCCTTGAGACCCTGAATTCTCAGGCAAGGAACAGACACCCAGCTTAAGGAGAGCAGTAAGTTTCTTATGCCCCCTTAGCCCAGCACGTCCCAGAAACACGCGTGTGTGCCGGCGCCCGTGGTCTGCGCGGGCGTGCAGGACACAGAGGGGGCAGGCCATCTTGAGCCTTGTGTTCAGGTTCTACTTTAGGAGAACAAGTGTGGGAAAAGAAGAGGCTAACCAGGGGACGGGGTGGAGCCTTAAGGGACAGCATCACCCTCGGGCCCAGCGGTGGTAAGGGCACTGGGCTGGGGACTTCTCAGACTCCGGGTAAGCCTTTCAAGGAGATGCCCTCACCAGTCCCTCTGCCTGGGCCCCAACAGCTTTGGCATAGCTCTTATGTCAGTATCTCGGGATAACTAACTTTTGCTGAAGGTAGAGGAGTTTTGGAGACCAGGATTTGGTAGAATAATGCCCGATTGGTGGTGGTGCCTGATTGGTGGTGGTGGTAGTCACCTAGCTCTCGAAACTGCTAGTAAACTTGCCTAGTTAGAGTCATCTTCAGTGATGGAGCAAAGAGGGTTTCAAGCACTTGAAACGCCCTTGACCTCATGCATCTATCTAACTGAGAGGTGCTACAGAGAACTACTGAATCAGGTGAGTGCAGGCCTCAGGCAGGCGGTCTCCCAGATGCGCAGTGAGAGCCCTCCTCAGGGCAGAGGCGGCAGAGATGTTGTGCTGGACCCCCGTGAGGTCTCGGGCACCCTCCTCTTACCGAGGTGGCAGCCGAGTTCATTCTGTTACCTGGTGGAACCTGGCTCATAAAGATGAGAATGGTGAAGAGGGGGACAGCAACCCTCATGGCTGGAGAACGGAGGAGGCTTGGCTTCATTTCCAGAGGCAGAGAAAGCTTCCGTCTGCGGTCCTGCAGCACCGCGGAATGCCTTGTCCGGATGTCAAGTGCCCTTCTGTACCTCATTAGGGCTATATCCATGGACAGAAGTGTTCTCTGCGTGCAGAGCGGCCCTCATAAGGAGGCTGAGAAGCCTTGGTTCATTGGGCACTCAGTGCATCAGAAGGATGCGGGCGCACACCTTTGACCAGAAAACCTTGTTAAATGGGAACACGAGCTACGAACGCTTTGGCACCAGAACAAGGTGTACGAGCAAGGACCTGCCTATCCTGAGTTCCAGCGAGCCAGGCTGTGCTGAGAAACCGGTTGGTTTAGTTAGTGACTAGACATCTTGTCCCTGAGTGCTTCTGGCTTGACTAGCCCTCCTCATGACTGATCACTCGCTCCTGGTCTGAAGGCTCTGCTCGCGGCACGGTACTTAGCACACATGTCAGTTTGCTCAGCGCACACTGAAACCTCCCCAGAAGGTGTGAGCCTTGTTAAGACCATGCTTTGTTCGTCAGTGCCGAGGAGGCAGTTGAATCACGGGGTAATTTAGTCTCACATCCTCATCCAGTAGAACCATGGCAGGGCAGTGAAATGCCTCTGAACGTGGAGGAATTTAAGTTCTGAAGTCTAACTAGAGGTACAGACATCGGCAGGAAACTGTCTTCCCTGAATCTCAGTGGCACCTGCGTAGATTTAGATCTGTTGAATCAAGATCAGGGAACTCTCAATCGTTTTGCATAAAAACAACGGGGAGAAGTTGCTTCTGGATGCAGACACTTAGACCCACTCCAGAAAATGTTAGTTTGGTGGGATGGGATGGAGCCTGGAGGTCTACGTTTTAAACAGATTTCCCAGGTACCAGTTCTGAAATGCATTCTGGAATACTCAGTGGAAAATCTCAGCTTAGATCATCTCTCAACTTCTTTCTATCTCTAGTAGTAGAGTATTCTCAGTTCTCTTGTCTGAGAGTAAATCTCATGTTTGGCTTTTATGACTGCAACGACATATTGTGTGTGTGTGTGTGTGTGTGTGTGTGTGCGCAGCCCAGAAGGGTGAGACTTATGCCTTAATCCATGCAAAATTAGATTCCAGTTTTATAAAGAAAACTCAGAAACTGGCCAGGACAAATAACTAAAGTGAGGAGCAGTCCATTTAGAAGAAGGCCGTTGCAGTAATAGAGGCTGGGGGAGGCTCCAGACTGAAACAGTGTGAGTGTAGAGAGAAGGAAGGGAAGATGTCTGAGGAACAGAGCCCAGGGCCATAACGCGCATATAAAGAAAGTGGGCACATAGGAGTAATCCAACATTTGTAACCTGAGCGCCTAAGTAAATGGTAACCACACTTAGTAAGATCTGAAAGAGCGGGTGAACTTCAGGTGGTGTCCAGCCTCCAAAATGGCTCTCAGGGATCGCCCATCCTGGTGGTCACACCCCCGTGCAGTTCCCTTCCACACGGAGGTGGGTTGACTTCTGCGACCAGTAGGATGCTGCAGACACGGCGGAGGGGGAGTTCTGAGGTCAGGCTGAAGAGATGCCGCAGCTTCAGTCCTGTGTGACTGGAACCCTCACTCTGGGTGAAACCAGCTTACATTTCCTGCAGGTACTCGAGCAAGACTACAGAAATAAATGCCCCTGTGGGAAGGAGGCCCCCTGAGGCTTCTTATTAACAGACACATTAGCAAGCCCTTTAGAGAGAGGAGCCCCCAGGGCTGGCGGACCCCTGGCCTTCTACTAAGTCCAGCACCAGCATTTCGGTGGCGCCCAGGGAAATGTCAGCCGTCTCCAGAGGTTCAAGCTTTGTGAGCCATCCCTGCACATCAGTTTCAGAAAATCAGGTCCCAGGATCCCAAGGACAGAAAATTCTGCAAAGGCTCAGGAGGGTGGGGACCTCTCTCCAGCCTTCCAGGCAAGAGTGCTTCCTGGACTCACGAGTTGACCTCGAATCACGTTTTCTCTGACAAAACTCCTGAAACTGACATGTTTCCTAAAATCTTCAAGACCCCTCTGGAGGCAGGGGCCAGCTTCTGCCAACAGGAGGTTCAGGGAGAGCATCCCTGCCCAGCCTCGGCCTCTGGAAGGGTTTAGAAGTGCCCTCAAGGGCCCAGCCACCACTTGTTTCGGCCTGTCGCCTGAAGCCAGCCGTCCCCACGCTGCCAGACCCACCACGAAACCTCCTGAGTTGTCTCCCGGGTCCCGAAACCTCTTCTGACTGCATGTGTTACGGAAACAACAGGGCAGCCAAGAAGCAAGCACCACTCGGAGGGTTGGAGTACTCAGATGTATTCTGCTAGTGGGCTTAGAAGGGCTTCTGCTCCGAAGCCCTGAGCGCCTCCAAAACGTGTGCATGAGGTTTTATAGGATTAATTACAAGCTTGGGGTATTTGGCCAATAGGCATGGAACAGCTGTAGCAGCATCATTATCACAAAAGCAGAGGCAGGGAGGCAACAAACCGACATTCCAAGGCCAGATACGTCCCTCTGAAAATCCAGCTGGCTCGCGAAAACATGAGCAGGGAATCAGCAAACCGACACTTACTAACTTAGACTTACGAGTTATCCCAGGAGAATTCAAATCAGCGATCCGACACTTGTTAAACTTAGATTTACGAATAGGCCCAGCCCGGCTTTTCCTTCACACGTGGATGGCGGTGAAGAGCATCTGGGTCTTCCTGAGACTAGAGGAATTTTCTAAATCACTTCGAGGGGTCAGAACCACTGGTTCCCACTTGGAATGGCAGGAAAGGGCATCCCAGGCTCACCAGAGCTTCCTCAAAATTTTCTAAGTCAGTTTTGCACCCTGGGAGCAGCATTGCTGACAAAGGTGCTTGTTGAAGGTGTTCTGTGATGCCTGAGGTTCTGGAGATACTGTGTGTCCCCTTGAGCGTACAAGGAAGGCTGTAGCTGTTCTCAAGGGCACAGAGAGGGTGGCCAGTCGCCTGAGCAGTTGGCAGAATTTTCTGAATCTTCCAGGTACTGGGAGGAACCACTGCGGCTGGCCTGTGTCGCCCCCTGCTGGCCTGGGTAGGTCATGCCCTCCAGCCGACCTAGGCAGAGATAGGAAACCTAGATGTCTGACCACGAAGGGTCTGGAAGCCCAGATGGCAGAAGGGCTAGCACTGGGGCCTCAAGTCCCAGGAAGCAGTGCTTCTGCCTGCAGCAGGGACGGATGTGGCTCTGGAGTCCTGCCTTCCGTGCAGGGAGCCAAGCTCAACTGGCCATCCTACCGAATTACTGAAAGCTGTTGGGTGTCCTGTGGCTGCCAGGACCACAGCCCTTCAGCCTCTGCCCGGTATTCCTGTCCTCCAGGGCTTCGCATGTTTGCAACCTGAGAGCACACTTCACGGTGCCTTCCGAGGACTCTGACTGCAAACTGCCCCGATGTCAGTGCCTTGTTACTCGCTTGGAGGGATTTGTACTGCAGTCCGTTTCCTTGCTGCTACTGTATTACCACCGTCTGTTTCCTTCCTTCCTTCCTATGTTGATATCACTATAACTGTTAAAATTACTAGTGTTTATGTTGTTTTGCAGAGAGGTGCCAGCCACCTCTTGTTCCAGCTCGAGGGCTCAGGGAGGGAGTCCTTGGCCTGCCGGACCCATCGCAGGGCGCTCTAATCCTACTCAGGGTGGTGGGAACCACTCTCACCCTCCCAGAAGTGATGGCCAGGTGTCTATGCAAGCATGTGCCTCCTTAGAATCTTCCATGTCGTTGTCAATGCTTGAGGTGCAAGTGTGTCCCGAGCCCACCTGAGTCTCTGGGACTCTTGTAAGCACCTTTAGGTGCCCTGGAAACGCTGGGACTGTGCTGAAAGGCTCGGAGGTGGTGCCTCTCCAGGCCGAGCAGGTGCAAAATGTGTCAGGTTGGTCTGGAGCTCTTGAACCACTCGTGGTGGCCTGTGCCACCGCCCGCTGTCCAGGGAACCACTGTGCTGCCACCTTCCTGTAGCCCCCCTGAGACAGCCCGAGGGGAGATGCCAGACCCTCCGGATTCTGGAGGAAGAGCTGGCATGAGCGCTTCCTGGCGCCAGGGCTGAGGTCATGCTGGGGCTTCACGCAGGTGCATTTGGGGCTCCTGCACCCTGGGTGTGGGTGGGGGGGCACTGTATTCCTCTGTGGAGACCCCCGCATCACCCAGGGGCAGGACTTATGAAATCAGCAGTATCCTTTGACGTAGACTTAAGGCTTATGTCTATGTGAAACCTGAGCATCTGAGCCCAGCGTGGGCCAGGGTGGGAATGAGCCAGCAGACCGGGCTTACCGCGTTCCCTGGGCATGAGGTTGACAAGGGCACGTCGCTAATGCTCATGTGTTGACAAGTGGATTCCGTATTTTTAATAAGCCATTGTTCTCCCAAGTTCCTTTTTCTTCAGATACATAATCTGTGATAAGTAAAAATATCTTCAAGGCAGAAATAAAAACCAAGTACAATATGTTTTACACAGTAGATTTTATTAGAAATGAAAGAAAATTTGAAAACAAAGCTTTAAAATAGCTTTTAATGAAAAATAACAAGCAAAGCCATGGGAATATTCCCCACCATGATTTACAGTAAGAGAACCCCGCAGAGTCCACAGACCTCATGTCAGGGCAGGGCACTGCTAAAACTCTGCAGAGCGCAGAGTGGGGCCCTTAAGCAAGGTTCAGAAAGTTCAGACATTTGCCACCAAATACAAATTACCATCGTAGCTTCCTACGTACAAAATCGTTAAAACTTACTCCTTAAATTTGTCTCCATTCTTAAAATGGATTTAGACTAACAAACAACTTGACGTTCTAATTTGATAAGTACCATTTGAAATAGGACTTTGATTCCATTACAAACAAGTGCAGGGTTTGCTTATGTGTGTCCCCAGGGTTCTCTGAGTTTCCATCCAGAGATGCGGAGTCACGGATCCACCAGGGACAGCCTGCCCCCTGTGACTTCCCCTCCTCAGGTCACCGTCACCTCCAGGGTGTCTGGGGCTGGAGGACGAGTCTTAGTTGCCAGGGGTGTCTCACTCCCAGTCACTATCCTCAGAGGAAGAGGAAACCTGAAGGTCATCATAGAGGACACTCAAGGAGCCAGGGGCATAGCGTCCCTCAGACTTCCTGCAGATGGGAAGGCTCTGACCAGGAGGGCTTGGCTTCTCAGCAGGGTGGAAAGAGGGAGATGTCATGTACCTGCAGCTCCACTCACCTTTGCTTAATCTTATGAAGACCATCCTAAGAGGATAGCTTGGAACATGGTTAATGGGTGGAAGACAGGGTACAGAGCAGGCCTGGACAGTATTGGGGGGAGATCTGTTGGCTTGAGATTGGAGGTCAGTGCTTTGCCCCTGGGCGGGTGTCTTCCTGTTGACTTGGGGTGACCCTGTTGGTCCTTGTCCAGTTGTACTGGGTGGAGAATGGAGATTCTGCAAAACCCCCAGATCTGGTCTCAGTGTGCTCCTCTGGGGAATCTGGACGAGGCTGAGTCTGGGTTTCTTTGGGGGGTTCAGACAAGCCTGGATGGAGATCTGGGCAGATTTCTCACCTAGCATCTTGATGCTGCTTTTGGAGTCCTGGACCAAACCTCTCTTGATGGGAAACACTGACGGGCAGGTGGAATTCATGTCATCTTTCCTGATGGGTGACCTGCTTGCTCTATCAGGTTCCAGGACAGATTTCCTCCAGGATGTCTGGATGAGCATCGGCGTGTTTGGACACTGCAGAAGAGAAGAAAACAGAAAGACGATACATTAGAACATCCTCACCGTCCAGTCATAATTCAGATTAACCAAAACATATCTCATCAAGTTCAATTTAACAGTAAGAGATAGGCAAGGAATCAGTTTAAATATGACGTGGTACTCAACCTCAGGATGCTCACAGCAAACAAGCATATAATATCACCTCAATACACTTATACATCAGATAGAAACATATACAGGTTGTAACAGTATCTCTTGTCCAGCGAATGGAAACAAGCGGTTTTAAATACCCTCTTCTAGAGACTGTACACGGTTGGTGTTTTGCAGGAACTTCCATGGCTAAATGGGTTCCGATGGACAGTTTTGGAGGATGGACCACAAGTACTCTGCGTGGTCACGTTGGTTGGAAGAGTATGTGAACGATTCCCTCACACAGAAAGGGACTGAGGCAAGCTGGGGAGACGCAGCGGGGAGAAGAGTGGGACCAGAGGACTCACCTCAACACAGCCACCGGGCTCCGAGGCTTCCTTCCCACGCTGCTGCGGCTGGGGTCCCCGGGGAAGTCGCTGGAGGGGCTTCCTCTGCTGCTCTTGTCTGCAGAGCAAACCATGTTCAGTGGCAGAAACCCACATTCCTCATCACAGTTGGGACAGACAACCCTGTGGCCCAGCCCTTTCCCAGTTTGGGGGTGACCCAGGGAGGGGACCCCGTGCCTTGTGAAGACTGCCCCCTGCCTCATCTCTGTCCTCCCCCAACTCCAAGGGTCCCGCCAGGTTGTCCCAGGAGGTCCTTCCTGTTCGTCTCTCCTGCTTTGTGTCTCCCTGTGCAAAGCTGCAGGTGTGCTCCACGCCCTTAGTGACCTCAGGGCGTGGAATGAACCCCTGAGTGTGGCCCCGAGGAGGCAGCTCCTTCCTCTGTCTCTCCAGGCTCTCTGTCTTTGCCTGGAGATGGCTCAGCACAGCGCAGAGGAAGAGCGGGACAGACTCCAATGTTTTCAGCCAGAGACGAGCCACCACCCCCCACACTGCTCACCTTGGCCTTTGACCCTCCTCCCTCGCGGCCGTGCTCGAGGTCCGCGGGGTCCACAGGCCCTGCACCTTCCGTGGCTCCAGGTTCTCTTTCCCACGTATGGCGCCCAGGGGCTGGGGGGCTTGGGCCCCTTGCCAGCGCTTCATGGGGCACCTGAGGCTGCTCGCTCTGTGCCCAAAGGCTCCGCAGTCCTTGCACTTCACCTGCAGGTGGAGGAGAGGACAGTCAGCGTGTCTGCAGGAGTGACAGGCACGTTTCAGAAGCGCACATCGGGACGGGCTCAGGGAGCTGAGCACCGCTTCTGGAGAAAGGACAGGGCGCACGGCTCCCGGGTGCCGGGGCACTCACGACCCCCTGGGGCAGCCCGAGCCTTAGTTAGGGGGCATCCAAGGAGGGAGGCCTGGAGGTCTAAGTGTGAACAGAAGGGCCCAGATAGAAACTCCTGGGAAAATACAGACTGGACAGGACGTAGGTAGGAGCGGGGTGCTTCCTCCCAGGCTCCGAATGGCCCAGTCTGCCTGGGGGTGAGGCCCCAGGGCAGCTGGCTGTGGGTGGAATGGACAGGTGAGTCGTGGACCCAGAGCGGTCCAGGTCCACACCCTGTCTGACGCCTCGCAGGTGCAGGCCTCCACTTACGCGGCAGTCCTCGCCCTGTGGTGTGGGCGGCGTCTGCTGCACCGGCTGGTACTTCTTCACTTTCTGGGCTTGAAAGGGCCCACACTGTGTGTACCGACTGGCCATCTCCACACCTTCCTGGGGCCTCAAGTCAGTTGTAACCCTTGGTTTCCTCTGTAAAAGAAAGAGAAAACCTTCATATCCAATCAGAAGTGCAAGTGGCCCAAACCCCCTCGTCACCAAGTGAGGATCCGAGGGCACCTTGCCCAGTAAGCAAATCCAGGTTTCTGACGGTTCGATTTCTCCCCCCACACACTTCCCCATTCTCTCTTGTGACCACCCTTCAGACCAGGACTCTGACTTCGTTAGCCCTTTCAGGCAGAGCTGTGGATTTAAATTTGCATCCTTGAAAGAGTAATTTTAGAGTCTTTGGCCATTTGCATCACAATGCAGTCTAATAGAGAAGATTAAGACAACATTTTCCCACACATCCACAAATTATGCCATGAAGGGTGACATTTAGTCTTGGGCACACACATTTGAAAACCAAATATAAGTATGCCGACTTCTTAAAAACTGGACTTTCCCATTCGCCATCAGAGGAGGCAATTTTCAAATACAAATTCACTTAAGAAAGATATTTTCTTCTCTACTAGACTTGAAGTTTCACAGCTGGGATGAAAGATTTTCTGAATCTTTCAACTTTAGTGGCTCACTTTTGCCTAGTTAATAATAATGTGAAACACGTTTCAACTAAGAATGAACAAAAAGTACTTTTTTAGGCTTTCAGTGCCTATAGACAATTCCACCAAGTTTTCAAAACTGCTCACCCAGTGGCCCACGTTAATCAGATTGCTCCAGTGTGTTTCCTAGAATTTGAATCTTCCCCTAATAGCATCCAGAAGGATGTGTGCTACCACCCTGCCTTCTAAGAATTCCGACTGAAATAAATGATCTAGATCGAGTGATCACTAACTGGCACCAGACCTAAAACTCAAGCCAAAATGGATTAAAAATGCAAAGCTAAGACTTGAAACTGTAAAACTCCCAGAAGAAAGCAGAGGCCGGCTGCTCCCCGAAACAGTTCCCAGACAATGGGAAAATGGGTGCGGAAAATAGTGTCCCTACTCAAGGGAAATCTAATCAGCCAGAAAGAAGTGGAAATCCTTTTATCTTCCACAACGTGGATGGGCCTTATTGTGATTAGGTTAGTGAGGTAAGTCAGTCATGGAAGAAAAATACCAAAAGACTTCACTCTTACATAGAATAATACTAAGAACAAACAGCAGAAAATAAACCAAAAAATCAAGAACAGAAGCAAACGCACAGACACACAGACCCGAGTCGCAGCTACCAGAGTTCAGGGGCAAAGGCGCCAGGGTAAAGGTGTTTGGACGTGCGGTGACAGAGGACAAGGAAAACTGTGGCGACCATGTGAATGCTGTACAAAGTGTGAAATGTAAAAGTGTACAAGTGAAACTTACCGAATATTAACGCCAGTGATACCTCAATTAAAGTAAACCATAAAATTAAAGAAACCTTACACTGTTTGCAAGCCAAACCACAGCGTATCTTCAGTATGGTCTTTTTTTCCAAGACATATGCTGAACACCAAACTTAAGGCAAACTATCCTAAAACCCAGCTGTGCACGTCCCATCTGCCAGCAGATTATCAGAGAGACGGGGGCTGGAATAGCCCCGGAAGAGGGGCAGCTTTGAGGTGGCTGAGGAAGGCCAGTGGGGGAACTGCCCTTTCCTAGCTGACTTGGCTGCCTCTCCAAAGTCAGATGGCCTTTTCAGCTTTGCTTAACCAGTCCGTGTCATGTATCACCTTTAGTCAAACCATGTCCTGAAGGTATGTTTAGGAAAGATAAACACCTTAGATTTCACTCATGTGGGACACACAACACACACACACAAAGCAAACAGTAAAAAAGGAAAAAAGGAAGCAAGCAAGTGACACAAAGCAAACACATACATTCACAGAACACGGTAGGGGGTGTCGGGGGAGCAGAAAGGGGCGTCTGAGTGAAATGGATCAACAGGATGGTAACAGAAAAAAAAAAAGCAAGTTTTTGGTTCTGAGCTGTTTTATGGTATACTGGAGTTGAAATATATTATTATATACTTAAAACTAATATTGTAGCCAAATGATACCCTAGGAAAAATAATTAAAATTTAAAAATTAAAGAATCCATGCCCTATTGCTTACACCACATCACTACATGTTTTGTTTACTGTCCTATCTCCCTGAGGGATAAGCTGAACCCCAGATTTCAGTCAAACAACCTGAAATCCATCTGGGTACCTTCTATCTGTCAGTAGTTTCTCAGAAAGGTGGGTGCTGGACATACGCCACTGGGCAAGATGCAGATGTGAAGGTGGCTGAGTCAACGGGTGAGTTTCCCTTCCCCCACCGACTGTTAGCCTGATCCAGGGTCACGTGACCTTGTTAAGGTTTCCTGAACCAATCAGTGTCATGTATCACCTCTGATCTAACTCTGTCTTGTTTGAAGACACCTTTAGAATACACAGGTGCCTAATAACTTCACTCATGTGTGGAACACAAAATAGAAAAAGACAAAAGATAAGTTTTAAAAATTTAAGAGGAAAGCAAATGACACAAAAATAAGCACATACATTCACAGAACACAGTAGCGGAGACCAGAGGGGAAGGGGGGGCGGAACGCACCAGCAGGTGAAATGGGTCAGCTGTATAGTGACTGAGGGAAACGGAGTTTTTGGTGCTGATCAGATGTACAGTACACAGCAGTTGAAATAGATTGTTGTGCACATAAAGATTGTCTAATATTAGAAGCAAATGATACCTCAGTAAAAGAAATTAAACAGTAAAGAAATGAAAGATTCCATGCCCCAGTGCCTGACGTCACTTCAGTATATATTTTGTTTACTGTCCTATTTCTCTGAGGGATAAGCTGAACTGCAACTTTTCAGCAAACCAACCTGAAATCCAGCTGTGTTCCCGCTGGCCAGACTCCACTGGAAGAGATGCAGCTCCCAGGGTGGCTGCGGAAGGGTCTATGGGGAAGTGTCCGTTCCTCCCTGACTTTTATACTGATCCAGGTCACGTGACCTTGTTAAGGCTTTCTTATCCAATCATGGTCACCTGTCAACGTTCCTCTAACCATGTCTTCAAGACACGTTTAGGAAAATCAACTGTATTACGATTTCACTCGTATGAGGAACACAAAATACAAACAAAAAAAAGCCAAAAAATTGAGGAAAGCAAATGACACAAAAACTAACATGTAGATAAACAGAAACAGTAGTGGATACCCGAGGCGAAAGATGGGGGCAGGGCCCAGTGGGCAGAATGTGTCAACAGTTGGTAACAGAGAAATTAAGTTTTTGGTGCTAGCTGTTGCCTGGTACACAGGAGTGGAGCTGTATAGTCCCAGTTGTTTATTGTGCACGTAAAACTTATCTAATATTATGACAGAGTGATACTGAAGTAAAAAAAAATAATAATAATTCATTTTTCTAAATGAGAGTGTCCACACCCTGTTGTGAAAAGCCACATCACTGTATATTTTGACTACTATCCTATTACTCTAAGGAAGAAACTGAACATCAAATCCAGCTGGGTACCTCCTGTCTGTCCATAGGTTGTCAGAAAGGTGGGTGCTGGACACACTCTGCAGGATCAGATGAGCTTCCAAGGGGCCTAAAGAAGGGCCAGTGGAGAGGTGGCCTTTTCCCCGCTGACTTTTATTCACATGACCCAGTTAAGGCATCCACCCCCAAGGAAAGATGTCTGTCACCTGTGTTCACACTCTGTCTCAGGAGAAGGACTGTACTGTGGAATTTAGCATTTTCATCATTTTACACTTTGAGAGACACCTGCACATACTTTTAAGAGTCTGTCTTTTCCAAAAGAAAAGTCAGCATTTTTCCGTATGCCCATTACTTTCTGAACTCACAATTTTTGTGTGGTAAAATATACATAAGTTAAAATTTACTGTTTAAGCACATTAAATTGTCAAGTCCTGTGGCCTCAAGTACATTCATACTGTCCGGGAGCCATCCACATCTTCCACGGCCTGAGCTTGACCCTCCCCACCGAGTCTCCACAGATGGGAAAAAGAGAGACAGCCTTTTCCCACACACGCAGCCATCTCTATGCTATGGGAAGGCTACGGTGCGTATTGTGGTACACACATTTGAAAACCAAAAAGAAAGTCTGCTGGCTTCTTGAAATTTGGCTTTCCCATTTGACATCGGAGGAGGCCATTTTCAAATGCAAATTTACTTAGGAAAAATATATCTCTTCCCCTAGACTGGAGGCTTCACAGCTGAGCATCTGTTTTATTTAAATCTTTTATCTTTGGCGTGCAATTTTATCTAGTTTATAATACTGTGAAATAAAGAGTTTTCAGCAAAAAATGAACAAATAAATCGTTGAGGCTTCAGTGCCTATAGAAATCCCCACCAGAACCTCACATTTGCCATTATCCTTCTTCCCTAGGCCATCTGAACGATGATTTTTCTCCTGAACATAGGAGATTGACCAGTTTTTCCTTTCTTTATCTGAATGTATTCTCACAAGTGAAAAGTGTATTTTTTATGTAATACATGATTTTAGTTTAAACTAATGAAAAAATAAATGTTCACTATTGTTAGGCATATGGGAGAGAGGTGCCTGGTTTCTCACATGAAACTTCAAAAATACAGGAAATCTTCATTTTCATTTCAATACCATCATTCATACCTTAAATACTTTATAATGTGAAATATGTGAGTATTTCCTTTTCTACTTTCTTTTGAAATTCTGAAGTTCACGCTGGCTCGATTTTGGAAAGACCAAATCCCACATGGTCTTTTTGCTGAAATTTCCCAAAGACTATTCCAAATAAAGACTCTCCTTGTGTGTCCTTAACAAATATCAGTTTACCCAACATTCCTCCTGTACTGATAGTAATTGTCTTGACTGAGATGGATTAATTGTGGAAGAGAGCTTCTCCTTAGGCAGGGAACAGAAGCGCCCCTGTGGTTCACGTGGAGGGGGTCGAGCCCTAACCACTGCTGCTCCAGGGCTCCAGCACTGAGGTCACGTTCCCCCGAATCCAGCTCCAACCTCTCAGACCTGCAGGGAAGCAGACATACAGAAAGGAGTCAGGACTGTGAAGTTTGACAGTCAAGGCTTCTGCAACTCTGAATCCTCCTGTTTAGATTTCTGCAGCCCTCTCAGTGTTTACACACCAATCCAGGGATAGCATTGTGCAGGTGTAAACCACCCAGCCACCAACCCACTTTCTCCATCACACCTTCTGTGCTCAAGTTTATACCTGGTGGATGTCTGAGTAACCAAGGCTTCTCCATCACATCTCTGAATCTCAGTGTCCTTGGCTTCAAATTAGATCCAGTGAAAGCTGAGGAGTAAAAAAAATTGAACAGAGTGACAATCTACGGAATGGGAGAAAATTTATGCAAATGAAACCGACAAAGGCTTGATCTCCAGAATACATAAGCAGCTCATACGACTTAATAAGAAAAACAAATAACCCAATTCAAAAATGGGCAAAAGACCTAAATAAGCAATTCTCCAAGGAAGAAATACAAATGATCAATAGGCACATGAAAAAATGCTCAATATCACTAATTATCAGAGAAATGCAAATCAAAACTACAATGAGGTTTATCACCTCACACCAGTCAGAATGGCATCATTCAAAAGCCCACAAATGACAAATGCTGGAGAGGCTGTGGAGAAAAGGGAACCCTCCTACACTGCTGGTGGGAATGCAGGTTGGTGCAGCCACTGTGGAAAACAGTATGGAACAGACTTACCACATGACCCAGGAATCCCGCTCCTGGGCATATATCCAGAAGGAACCCTACTTCAGGATGACACCTGCACCCCAGTGTTCATAGCAACACTATTTACAATAGCTAAGACATGGAAGCAGCCTAGATGTGCATCAACAGATGACTGGATAAAGAAGTGGTATATTTATACAATGGAATACTATTCAGCCATAAAAATGACAACATAATGCCATTTGCAGCAACATGGATGTTCCTGGAGAATGTCATTCTGAGTGAAGTGAGCCAGAAATTGAAAGAAAAATACCATATAAGATCACTCATATGTGGAATCTAAATAAATAAATAAATAAATAAATACAAAACAGAAACAGACTCATAGACATAGAATACAAACTTGTGGATGCCAAGGGGGTGGGTGGTGGGAAGGGACAGACTGGGATTTCAAAATGTAGAATAGATAAACAAGATTATACTCTGTAGCACAGGGAAATATATAAAGGATCTTGTGGTAGCTCACAGCAAAAAACAATGTGACAATGAATGTATGTATGTTCATGTATAACTGAAACATTGTGCTCTACACTGGAATTTGACACAACATTGTAAAATGACTATAACTCAATTTAAAAAATGTTAAAAAAAAAAGATGTTGGCTCTAAAATGGACAGTTGTTACACAAATCAGGACAGTTATTGTTGTGAGGACATGGAAGCCCAGAGCTGCCAGCTCTTCCAGTTTTCTCAAGAGAAGCTGGAACTCTGGATTTGTTTCTTTTTGGGGGGTGGAGTGGAGGGGAGGTAACTGGGTTTGTTTGTTTGTTTAATGGAGGTGCTGGGGATTGGACCCGGGGCCTTGTGTGTGCTGAGCATGCTCTCTACCCCTGAGCTGTACTCTCCCTGCTGCATTTGTTTCTTAATATGAAGTTTCTCCATTTTTAAATATGGCAGCGAATTAGAAATGTAAAAAGCTGGGCCTCCGCTTGGCCCCTTCTCACCTGCAGTTTTTATCTGACCTCGGGATTTGTATCGCACTCTCAAAATACCGTGTCGTCTCTTCTGAGTTTCCTCGCTCACTCTTTTACTACCAAGCCCATTTATTATAAGCAAAAAATAAATATAACATTCACCAAACATTAAAAAAAAAAATAGAACAGTGCATGCGAGGATACTTCCTTAGGTTTCCTTTACCGTTATTACAATGGAAAAAGGTTTCCCAGACATTGATTCAAAAAGCTTCTTGAATAAAGGTCTAGTCAATTGATCAAAGAGAAAATGTAGCTTGTCTAATCACAATGATAGCATCAGATTTTGAACAGGGCCTCCAAGAGGACCTGATGAGGACCTGGTCTCTCGCTGGAATACAGCACAGTGTGTGTAAGAGAACCAGGGCTGCTCAGCCTGGCGGCTCAGAGGAGAAACAGACGTAGCACATAAAATTTGGCTAAATAGAACCCAGGATTTGGCATAGGTACACTTATTGGGGTGATGTATTAACAGGGGGGGAAAAGGCTATACAACAAAAATAAAACCAGACACAGGATTTATGTTGTTAGCCTTTTTACACCTTCACCCAGGTAGACAAACATACTTTTAAATACCTTCATGCTCATTATAAATACAAAACAAAATAGACTGAGATCTGAAAGTTTAGAAGCAAAAGCATTGGATAGTAATTTTTAAAATTACAGTTCTACATAAACTCTGGTTTGTAACTAACTGAAGAGTTCTGCTTACAAAACATGGGAGCTTGCTTTGGAAAATTAGCATACGGATCATGAAGAAGTGAATGTCCCACACCAACCAGAATCACTTGATAAGACTCTGGAAGCCAGTGGCTAAAATCTGTCAGGAGGGAGGACAGTGGAAAGTAGGGAAATTGAGAAACTGTTAAAATATTTGTTTTTCCTTTGGGTGGAGGTGGCCTGAAGGGCAGAAATCTTTTTAACAAGTTTCTTATGAAATGAATTGTGTCCCCCCCACCCCCAAATTCACAGGTTGAAGTTTTAAACCACCTGATGAAGGTATTTGGGGAGGCTAAGGCAACTGTCCCTTTCAGGCCAACTCATTACCATTCTAATCCTATCAAAGGTGTTTTCCAGTCTTTTGTAAACAGAAATCCTTGAAAGGTGTCCATTGTTCTAACCCGGGGGTTGAGATGACCACGCCCTCAGTCCTTAATCCAATTAAGCGCTTGCAGCGGATTGGTGGATCTCCTGCCGGTGGGGGCGGGGGGTGGGGCGGGTGGTGGGCTATAAAAGGGCTGGTGGGCTGGCCCCGGCTGGCCCTCGCTGTCTGCCCGCGGGATAGAAGCATCGCTGTGCAGCTTGAGCTCCCAGACGCAAAACCCTGTAGACATTATTCACAGAGACATGGAGGCTGCTTCTCTCATCTGGGGTGATGCGTATCAGTTCAACGTCTTTCCAAAACTCAAATCTTCGTCAAGTGCAGCTGGTGGTGATGTCCAGTGGGGACCCTCTCGACCCGAGAAGCTGTCCGCGTCATCAGAGACAGCTCGCAACCAACGCAGTGATCTTGCTCCTGTGTCAGCAGGGCTGGCTCCCGCCAAGAAACGTCTGAGTTGGAAGACCCCTTCCGTGGCGGGGGCTGGACTGCAGAACACGGGGAACACTTGCTACGTGAATGCAGCGCTGCAGTGTCTGACACACACGCCACCCCTGGCCAGCTCTATGCTGTCCCGGCAGCACTGGAAAGTCTGTCAGAAGCAGGCCTTCTGCATGGTATGTGCTATGCAAGCTCACGTGACCCGCGCCCTCCTTCATCCTGGAGAGGTGATCAAGCCCCGGCAGGACCTGGTCACCAGCTTCCACAGAGACCAGCAAGAAGACGCCCATGAGTTTCTGATGTTCACACTGAATGCCATGCAGCAGGTGTGCCTGAACGGGTATGAGCTGTCAGATCGTCACTCTGAGGACACCTCCCTCGTCCCTCGCATCTTTGGAGGCTCCTGGAGATCTCAAATCCAGTGTCTCCACTGCCTAGGTGTTTCAGACACTTTTGACCCTTATCTAGACATCACCCTGGACATCTCTGCAGCTCAGAGTGTGAACCAAGCTTTGAGAGAGTTGGTGAAGCCCGAACAGCTGGATGGTGAAAATTCCTACCACTGTAGTGTTTGTCTCAGGAAGGTGCCTGCTACCAAGAGGCTGACTTTGCACAGAGCCTCCAAGGTCCTCATCCTTGTGCTGAAAAGGTTCACAGATTTCACAGGCGGCAAAATGGGTAAGAAAGTGTGCTACCCCGAGTGCCTTGACCTGAGCCCCTACATGTCTGAGCAGGAGGCAGGGCCCCTTGACTACGTGCTCTACGCCGTGCTGGTCCACTCGGGGTGGAGCTGTCACAGAGGACATTATTTCTGTTACGTCAAAGCTGGAAACGGCCAGTGGTACAGAATGGACGATGCCAAGGTAACCGCCTGTGATGTTACTTCTGCCCTGAGCCAAAGTGCCTACGTCCTCTTCTACGTCCAGAAGAGTGAGCTGGAGGGAGACGGCGGGGGAGTGTCCACAGGTCAGGAAGCAGCCTCCCTGGGGGCTGAGCCCGCAGGCCTGGCCGCCGCCCACCGGGAGCCTGACAGAGACTCCAGTGTCAGAGTTCCTGGGTCGGAGGAGCAACTGGAGGAAACAGAAACCCCAGAAGTCACCTTAGAGCAGTGGAGGTGCCTCCAAGAACTCAGCCGCCCTAAGCCTGAATTCAGCCTCAGGAAGGTTGACTCTGACGTGCCCGCAGATGCAGTGGTGATTCACCAGTCGAAATATGGAGATAGGATGAGAATGAAACAGCCCGAACAGGACACCTGCCAGCCCAGTCCTTCAGGCAGGGAGGCCCCAGCTCAGGGGCCAATAGTTATTGGCAGCATCCCTTGTCTCAGAGGGAAGCCCAGAGCCTCCAAGAAAAAGGGCAAGAAGAAGCAGAGGTCTGCGGGTGCCCTGCAGTAAGCTCTGAGGCGCATCCCTGCAGACACACACGTACACACACACACACACAGACTCACTTAGCGGTGAATAATCTGGACTGGGGAAGGGACTGTCTATTTGGAGTGTTCACGGGACGGGGTGTTCGGTGTGAACTTGTGACCACTGAGCTTTGAGATGTGACTGTCCAGGCTGATGTCACTGGGGAGGGTGAGATTCATTTCTGGGTCTGAGAAACCTCTGAGGACTTTCCAATTGTGCTGTGTTTGAAGAGTCATTTGTTGATGGGGTGTCTGTTTTTTGCAATTTTGATTCTCGTGAATCGTGCAGCCTGGAGGCTCCTCAGGTGCGTTCATGCCCACCCAGGCAAGGACAGTGTTTTCTTACCAGTTCCGGAAGCCCAGGCGCCTCCCCTGCCTGCTGGCGTCCGCCTCCCCTGGGTCAGCCTCGCACAGAGAAGTCCGCGCATTCTGGGGACTGAGAGTGTCAGTTGGAAAATGGGCCACCAGGTTCTGCAGGGTGGAGATCGTTCTGAGGATTTGGACCACCTGTGAACATGCCTGAAAGTAATGACCAGGTTATCCATTCCTCACTTGACCTTTACAATAACAAGGACACTTGTCCAAAGATATCTGTGGCTTGATTTCCATTAGACAAGATGTGTTGAAAACTATACAAATACCAAACAACAGGAAAAAGGATTAAACACATCTGCAGGAATAAACCGCAAAGCACCTTGGACCTGATGAGCAGAGGACAGGTGTCAGCGGGGAGACTTTTCAAGAAGCTTGATTTGAGTCCCAAGGTAAAATGCAGAATGAAAGTGTTTATTGATAAATGTGCATGTTTTTACTGCCAGAAAATATAAATTGTTAAAAGTATGTATGTGTATTAAAATCCGTAATTGCTTAGAAATGTGATTAACAGAGTACTACGTGTTTTTCAGGATGAGACTGGATCCAGTGTGATAGATCGCGTTGATGACCTGACATTGCTTAAGGGTGGCCTGCCCTGGAGAAGGAACTGGGAAGGAAAGTTTCCTGCAGTCGAAGCCTCAGGCTTCCTGGAAGCTGCATCGTGTCCAGCAGAGTTGGGAAGCACCCACCTATCTGAGTTCTGCTGACACTCAGAAGGACGGCAGAGAGGTTTCAGGTTGGTTTCCACTAAATTTTGGTCCTTGATTCTTACCTGAGAAAAGTAATCTAACTGGAGAAATAGTTCGCGATGTGGCTTTACATGTCGAGTACGGATTCTTTAACTTGCAGTCATGTTTCTTAGGAGAGAGGACGATAAAATACACCCTGTCAATTACTAAATGGTGGTTCAAATTCGTCTGGTTTGTAAGGGGCAGTGCCTGAGCGGTTATGGAATCTGGTGGTTTGCCAAATGCATTTAGAGGCTAAATAATTTATTTTTCATTCTTTGCTCAAACATAGAAATTTCACACTTATTAGAAAATATTTAAAAAGTGGGTGTTGAAGAAAACTGATTAAAACAGTCCACACCCTCAACAGTGTAGCCCCCAGGCTCAGAGGAAGAAAACCGTTTTCTAGGTTAAGTTGTAGTTGAAAATTGCCTCCCCTCATGTCAAATGGGATTCTTTGAATTTTGAGGAGGAAACATTTTTTATTTCAGATTTTCAAATATCATAGCCAGACGTTAGATGTCGAATTCTCACATCACCCTTTTATTTTGTGTGTCGCATGACCGGTTATCCGTCTTTCTCTGATACTGCCTGTTGTGATAACCTTCACAGAGCCTCAAAATCCAGTCTTCCATGAGTGAAAATTGACATTCAGCCTTAATAGACAGTCATCTGTCTTGTCTTTGCGGGGTTCCACTCTGGGAAGGGTAACCTTGCAGAGCATGGTAAATGTCTCATCATGTGACACCACTGGGTGTAAAGAAGGAAATGGTTATTGGTTTGATTAGTGGTCACTATCTCCACTTGGAGGAGAGGGTGCAGAAGGGACAGTCTGTGTTTATGTGACATCCTTTTCCTTCTCATGATTCAGGATCTCTGAAATGAATGCCTGGGGCAGCCTGCCCTCGCACTCCCAGGAGATGAGGCAGATGGCAGGCGGACACAACAGACCCGCAGGTGAGGATGCCACACAGGGGCAGCAGGGGCCCTTGGGGGAGGGAGGTCCCTGGGTGAGCAGAGGCACGACTCTGCCCTGCAGGTCCCCTGGGGGAGCCGACTGTGGTTCCTGCTGATTCACTGAGTCCCTTTTCTTCCAAGCACAGGGGCAGGCGAGGACTGGACCTGCAAAGTCCCAGATGGGGCTCTCCTCCCCCAGCCCTCGGGTCCAGTAAAGAGGAGACCCAAGGCCATGAGGTCATCGGAATGCAGGATCCTTTAACCAGACTGAAAGGAGGAACTCAGCAGCGGTGAGCAGTGTGGAAGGGTTAGCATGTCCTAGTTTACTGAGACCCCAGAGAGGTGCCCTGTCTCTCCACCCCTGCGCCACATGCACGGCCACCTCCAGGTAAGGACAGGCAGCCACGAGAGAAACACACAAGGCATCTGGGTGCTCCCTGGGTCCACATCCTACCCTTAGAGAACCCCTAAGGGGAGAGAGCTGGTTCCATCTGGGAACTTGGTGCAGGACAGCAACAAAAACAATAGAACTAATGAATGGGGAAACCTGGGGAACTACCCGGAGTTGACGGGTGGATCTGAGACGAGGGGAGGGCAGTCGGGGCAAAGTTCACAGCACTTCAGTGTCCCCACACCCTAAACACCGAGTAAGACGGGGCCCCGGGATGCTTATCCGTACTGGGGACAGGGCACTGGGGCACATCCACTCACGGTGCTTTTTTTTGCAGGCAGGAAAAGCGGCTGAGGAGGCCTTGTGATCCAGAAATAGACACAAGGAGACGCCGAGGGAGAAGGCAACAGAGCTGAAGGAGCCGACGGCATCAGGCGACTCTGACGGTGGGTCTCTGCTCGGTACCGGAGCCGTGTCCCCTCTGGGGAGCCTGCAATTGCTTCACCCAAATGTGCATTTCCTAATGTTACCTTCTGTCCCAGTGACCCCAGATTATTCGTGATCTTCAGTTGCCAACTTTCCTTCAATTATGTGTGTTCACGTGGTTACTCGCAGGTCTGTCAATAGCCTGCTATTGGGGGCATATGGAATTGATTTAATCCGATGCCTCCACAACTGAGACTCAAAGGCAAGAATATCGTTTAAATTGTAATGAATATTCCCAAATCGTCCATCACACACATTAGCCATTAAACTGCCTTAAGAGCAGCATTCGCTCCGACATTCCCCGAGCACTGAATGAAAATGCTCGTTTCCCTTTAATTAACAAGAGACTGTATTTTAAAACATTTTATTTTCCAGTTTGGTGAGAATTATAAGAAGTTGATAGTGTAATCTATTGTTTCCTCCTCATCACTGGGTTGGGTTTCTTTTCATATTACAATGAATTAAAACACACTAATTTTACTGTTAAATTTATTTTTTATGCTTCAAGCCCTTTAATTCGACTGATTTCCGTTTTCCATTTGGTTGAGACCAATCTTAGCACATATTCTATGTGTGGTGTCCTGTCTTACAGCGCCCGCAGACCAGTGCCCCTGCAAACACCGAGGAGACGCTGTCCCAGACTCTGCACTCGCAGGCCGGCCACCTCCCACGGAATCTTCCCTGGGGTGGTCGTGGAGTGGAAATCACTGACTCCCCAGCCCACCGTCCTGTGCTTTGTCCAGGACCCTCCCTCATCGTCCAGCCCACAGACAGCAGACCTGATGTTGGCTCCCACGATTTCCCCAGACTGCCACCAACATACTTGGCCCCGGCCCTGCCCTCACACCCCAGGTCCAAGCCAAGTACCTGATGTGAAGTCAAAGCCAAGCTCCCATCCTGACCCCCATAGACTGAGCCAGGACTCCAAGCTGTGCATCCTGGCACCAGGTGAGGGATCTGCCTGGGTCCCCATCCACGATGCCAGAATCCCTCAAAAGGCCCTTTCCAGACCCTCAGAAAAGCACTTGGAGACCAGTTCAGGGAGGCTGTCCAGACTCTGTGGTCTCTGCTCAGTAGATGGATGTGGACACAGGACATTCCCAGGTGACCTGAAGGACGCCTGCTCAGATGGCCAGCACTGACCTCCAGTGAGCGGACCTGATGACTGCCCAGGCCGGCGGGCTCCCCATCCTCCCCACCACCCAGCCTCGTTCCAGGCCAGCCCCTAGTGGTCTGTGCTAGGTTGACTCAAATAACTCTGAAGGACACTGTCTCTGTCCCATCGCTTTTCTCTGGGATGACTCTGTGCAGTCACTGGAGTGACAAACTCTCCAGTAGCTGAGACTTGACTTTCAGTCTCAGATACCTGGAGGAGACAGCGGACGGAGCAGGTGGCAGCAGGGCAGCACGCTGCGTCGGATGAACAGGAATCCCCAGCCCCGGTGCACGTGCAGGGAAAGGACCCCCGTGCCGCCCTGGGAGACGCACACACACAGCCTGTTCCGACTATGCCCCTTCCGGGTGAACTCAAGATGGAATTTATGAAACTGGCATAGGAGAGGTTTTAAATTCAGTTAATTGTGTAATAAGCCAAGTAAAACAACTGGCATAAGTATTTAGTTCTAACTAAGGAGCTGTGAAATTAATCTGAACTTTGGGAAACTCTGGTTAAACCAAGCTCCGGGCTCTGTATCTTCTGAGAACTGCCCTGTCCTGATACAGAGTTCTGTTTCTGTGTAAGTGTTTTATAGAAATCAGCACTTTTTAAAATTCAGCCTCACTGTAGAGTTGTGTTTTTAAAACGTCTTTCAATGTTAATAAAACCTCAAAGTACGACATATTGCGCCTGTGTTTTTATTTCTAAACATCACTGGTCAATTCTATATTACTTTAATTTCTTAAGCCGCTACTCCTGATGTAAAGGTGGAACTCGGTCCCTGAGGCTTAACAGAAATGCAGTCCCCTGGGTATCCAGAGCTCAACTGTCAGAAAACTGTCAGACACAGCGCTGGAGTCTCCCGGGTGGCTTACACTAGATAACTGAACCTGTCCCTGTGACCTGCTGGGCCAGGGCCAGTCAAGGTCCCTGCTGTGTCACCACCAGGCGTGGATGGAGACAGCCGGTTGGTGGGAAGCTGCGATGAGCCGTGTGGGAGGAGCTGCCGAGGAAGGCGAGACCCAGAGCAGGGCTGCATCTCGCCCACATGCCGTGGACTGCAGATTCAGGTCTGTGTTCACAGCCACAGAAGGAAAACCAGAACTTCAGCAACGTACTAGATGTTTCAGCAACAGGGTTTATTGTTGAAGTATTTACAATTAATCATCTATCAACAAAGTTTTAATTTCTTAACAAAATTCTGCAGTCAGTATTCCTACAGCTTCACTATCTTGCATTCATAGGTCAGATTTTCCCTGTTAATAGTTTTCTCAAAATTCTCACTTGCTGAATTTTATGTTAAAAGGCTCTTTTAACACGTTGATCACCCACTGTGGATCGGGTGCCCCTGAGGAAGCACAACTGTCACCCAGATTTGGGTGATGTGGTGATCAATGCTACAGGTTTCCCCCTTCCCCTGGCCCCTCAAGCTTAATTTTCTAAACGTGGAATCTAGAGGTTTTCTCCACTTTAATTTTAGGATCACTGTCTGCTCGCTCTGAGAACCTTACAGCTGGTTATGAAAAGAGAGATCACCAAAGACTTCCCTTCCTTCATGACACACGTACGGGGAATGCACACGCGCGCCACCCAGGCACGGGCACCCCCGGTGCTGCTCTGGGAACAGGGCTTCTCATGGACTCACTTCTCCGGGACGAGTTACCTGGTACTCCGCAAGAGCCTCCGTCCTCACAGCCTGTTTCAGTCGTTAAACTCAGTGGTTATTCCTCCACCGGGTTCCTTGCGCGCATCAAGCCCGTGCCTGGCTGAATGCTGTTCCCAGTGAGTACAGACCTAGGTTCTCCCAAGTGGAGCTCGCGCAAGCTGTGCAACTGTGAGTTCTACACGCAAGCACGTCCGCCGCGATTGCAGGCCTGGGTTCTCCACGGCGCAAGCCCTCCAGCGTGCTTTCAGCTTAGAGCGCTCGCTAGAGGCTTCTACTTCCTCATATTTTCAGTGTGAGTTCTCTCGCGTCATCTCTGCTCAGAACACCGACTGAAGGTTTCACCACACCAATGCCATACGTATGGATTCTCTCTCATATACATCTGCACACGTCAAATTTAGTAAGGATGACGGAAGCCTCTTCCACATTGATTAGTTTTTCTTCGATGTGTGAGTCCTCCGGTGCATTTAAATGTTAAAGCTATGGTGGCAGTCTTGTCCACGTTCACTACCTTTATGACAGCACGTCATCTAAGGTCACAATATCCGCTGAAGGCATTCATGATTTTCTCTCCATGGTGGGTTCCCTCGTGTCGCCTAAGGGCAGAACACTGACTGAAGGATTTCCCACACAGATGACACTCATAAGGCTTCTCTCCGGTGTGCGTTCGCTCATGGCGTCTAAGGGCAGAGCACTTACTGAAGGCCTTCCCACACAGCTGGCACTCATACGGCTGCTCTCCGGTGTGCGTCCTCTCGTGCTGCCGGAGGTTGGAGGACTGACTGAAGGCTTTCCCACAGAGATGACACTCGTACGGCTTCTCCCCAGTGTGAGTCAAACTGTGTTTTCGAAGGTCAGAGCTTTGAATAAAGGCGTTCCCACAGAGATGACATTCGTACGGCTTCTCCCCCGTGTGAGTCATCTCGTGTCTTCTAAGGCTCGAGCAGTTACTGAAGGCTTTCCCACACAGGACGCACTCACAGGATTTACCTCTGGTGTGGCCTTGCTTGGGCTGATTAAGGTCGGAGTGGTCACTAAGGGATTTCTGACACTTTTTGTTGATACAGTGTGTCTTTTCCATGGGAGTTACCAAATGCTGGCTCAGCGTGGAGCTATGAGTGAACTCTCTTCCCCAGCCATTACATTCAAAGGGGCCCTCTGGAGAGTGAGATACCTGCTTCTGGGAAGGAGAGGAAAGGCTGTTAGTGGTTTGCCCACATTCCTTCATACATTCATTTCTCTACATATGAATCTAAAACACACCATTCACTGGTGGTCTCCATTTAAAATCTTTCCAATATTACCTGCATACACAAAGGTTTTCTCTGTGTAAAGCTTACAGGTTAATTCTGAAGGTGGTATGTTTCAAAGACTCGGCATATGAGCAATGTTTATGCAACTGCCCTTTTCTAAAGATCTCAGGTTATGATTTTGAGTTCAGGTTAAATTTCCCACTAAATTTAAATCATCCAAAACTTTTTGCTCATAAAGAGCTTAATCCCAGCTTAATGTAAATCAGGCTACTGTGCTCAGTTACTACGATCCCACTGCCAGCTCTTCAATCTGGGTGACCAGGGTTAACACTCATGAAACTTACCTCTGGGATGGCGGTAGACATGATCTCCCTCCTGATGCGTTGTGTGGCTAACATTTCTTCTCTAAGGGCACCTTCTCTGCCTAAAATAATTGGGGGGAAAAAAAACCTACAGTTGGCAATAGGGAATGAAAATGTTGAAAAGCACCAAGACCCATGTGAGTATGTTTCAAAACTTGGCACTTAGATGGGGAACACCCTAGGAAACAGAAACACATCACAGGGCATTGACAATCAGTAAAGATTTTCAGAGCTGAAATATAAAAACATTAAAATGGAGATGAGATGCTGGGGAGGTAAAGAGGTTAAGAGAGGGAAAACCTCAAAGGGGAGGCTGAGAACAAGAGTTATTATGTGAAAGTTTAACTTTAGCAAGTACATGAATATCCTTGTCCATAAAGCCAAAAAAAAAAAAAAGACAATGGCAGGAGGACACGTGAATTATAATTGAAATATACGAGGAATAGTAACACCTGGAGAACTATGGCCCCACGTCCTCACCTACATTGTAGAAAACACCACTCATTTAACAGAATCTTCAGTTGATATGTTTGAGTATGTACTCACTCCACGACCAGGCACCCCCTCACCCTGAAGCACAGGCCTCTACCACATACCTGGACTGTGGCTTTGGAGAAATCCTCCTGCTTCACTCCACAGCTCTTCACCTTCCTCCAACTGGAAAATCACATCTGATTTGCAATGCTGATACCCTGTTTACGGAAAAAAGGTACATGGATTTTGAGTTCTGTGCTAATAAAAGTATATTATCATCAAGCACAGGACAAGTTACTGAGAAAGAGTAAGGGGGTCGCTGACGTTCAGCTGAGGCAACAACACCCTAAGTGGAAAATGCACCAAAATCCAGATCGCGCGCCCAAAATAGTGAAAGTCTCTGGATGCTGACGTCCAAGGCCAAGTTTGCAGACAGAATGCAGAATCCTCCATTTTTTTCAAAAAGGGAGAAATTAAATGTCTCCACAGTGGGTTCAATATAGTGGTTTTCATACAAATGCCAATAAACATAAGTACCACAAGAATGATCAAAGGTTTGCTATTTTCACTAGTCTGCTGTCAAGCCACAGTGCAGTGACTAGAGCAGAATAATTACTTAGAAAATATTTAATCAATTTACCTTTGCTTTCAAAAATACTCACTGAGTTCCCAGTTCTGCTCTGAGTGTCAGAGACTGAGTGGCAAGAAAGAAATTAAATGGTGATCAAGATGACATTTTAGTAGAGTGACAATCTGCATGTAAGTAACATATAAAGAAACAACTCTCTTTCACGTAGATTTCTATGAGAGAATCAGCCAGAGAATGGGGTGGGTACGCAGAAGCTGTTCCAGATACTTGCTGATCCAACCAACGAACACCTACCCACTTGTCTACCTACCTACTTACCCACACACACACATACATAAATGCTGACAGACTCACCCACGGAGACCAGGTGACTGAGGTTCTCCAGCATCACGTCTCTGAACAGCTTTCTCTGGGATGCGTCCAGCAGGGCCCACTCTTCCTGGGTGAAGTCTATTGCTACATCTTCAAATGTCACTAACTCCTAAAACATGGATATTCTGGTTTAGGCAGAACAATCCCTATGAATGTTCAGAGTAGGAGGGTTGAAAGGACAGCATTGAGGGAAAGGGTGGAGGGACCAGGTGCACAGGAAGATCAGACTAAGTCCGGGCTTCCCAACAGGTCATTCTCACTGCTGAACTGGCACCTACTTTTCAGAAACCTCACATAGATCTACACAGTCTAAGCTAATAAAACTTTATTATAAGGGAGTCTCACATGAAGCGTGATGTAATAGAATCTGGAAATCTTCCAAAAACCTGGTAATTATGAGTTCAGACACATGATTAAAACATGCACTTAAAAATTCATTAAATTCTCTTCCTGATTAATTTCAAGTAACTTTATAGACTCATCACAAGGTAAATAAACCATGATTTGCCACCTTTAAACCATAGCTATGGTTACATCATTCCCCTAAGTGAACTTCAGACTCCGTATCTATTAAATGATCTTATAAGTACTGAAAGATCCAATGAACTGATGGATGGAGCTCTTCCTATCTAAGTAAACACGTGTTAAATACAAGTCATTAATCTATTGCTCACTAAGATGTCTGCAGACACTGAAACCATCCCCAGCATTCTTCAGAATTGAACAAGTTTCACACAGAACTTGGAATCAGCGGGTGTGGCCTTGCTTAACTCCGCAGGACTTGGTGTCCACAATAAGGTGTAAGGTCAGGCAGGTCAGCAGCACAAGGAGGGACCTCTGGGAAGGCTGGCCTGGCCTGGCCGTTCCTGCGGCACGCAGGCTCCCATCTGCAATTTTCTCTGGGACCTCAGACACCAGTATTGGCGTCTCCTATCTTTACCTTGTCCCTCTGCTAAGAATGACAGAAGCCCGTTGATTGGTTTTGGTCTCTCTGGTTCTCAAAACCTTCCACAGGGTCTTAAATTTTACAACAATCCTCCTGAACATGGAGCCACAATTAAGGAAATAATATTCCCTACACATTAATTACAGTTGCCAAATATGAAAAAGTGTTAATTTTCTTAATTTTCTGTTTAAGAAGTTCCTAAAAGTGCAAATATATTCTATCAAAACATCACATTTAAAATTGGCAAAAAATAGATGAATGCTATCTCAAGCCTTCCCCGGCCTAAACCTCCCCCATGCCCCCTTCAGTGCTGCACAGCCCGCAGCCAGGGCCTGTGAGGCCCGGACCGACCGACTCACTGATGAAGCCTCGGCCGCCCTGCTGGGCTAGGATGAGCTCTGCGCTCCCCTCTCCTCACCACAACCTCAGACCGTCAGAGCCAACGGCACGATTAATGAGTGGTACCTCCCAATGGCACCACGGACAGAATTAGGGAAAGAAAACCTTTCTCGTCTCTTCTGTAAGTACACTAGCTTAGCGGAGGCTGGAATAAATCAGTGCGCTGTTAGGAAGGCTATTAGTTACTAAGGAGTTCCTGACCCATGACACACCCCGGGGTCTCGGGGAAATTCCACTGGAGCTCAGACCCCTGACTTTCCTGACTGCACTGGGACACCCACGCCGGCAAGAGGAACCCGCCGTCCGCCAGCAGCAGCCATGTGTGCAACTTCACTAGAGAGCAGCATCCCTTACTCACCACGGGCTGCATCGTCAGTAACTCGGCTGCCAGCGGTCTTTCTCCGGGTTTTCACTCGCAGACAGTCCAAGCATTAAGCAGGCAAAGCTGAGGACAGTGAAAGAAGCCATGAGACTCCCGCCTTGCGCACAACTTGCAGACCAACATTCCGTGAAGCTCCAGCCTTCACCTGGGCGAGGCGCCCGGCCTAACCAGCAAGCGCGCGGTGCGCTCCGGGAGAAGCACACAGAGGGCTCTCCTCTTCTCCCGGGGTCCAAAGTAGGACGACTGTAACTACAGCTGTTAACAAAACACAGGAATACGGACAGCTTACGGGCAGGAACACCAAGTGTGCTGAACTTTACACTACAGGTGGACTGGCCCACGGCACCCAGAGTCACTCAGTTCCCTCCCTGATTCGGAACCATAGTAATCCCGGACGCATGCCACGGGTAGGCTCTGGTGGAATTCCTCAGACCACTTCTCCTGCCTTAGGGAAGAACTTCAGAGAGGCCATCACTAGCCCCTTGTCAGACGCTAGGCTGCCCATTAGCTCCAGGAACCACAGAGCCGTCAGCCTGGACAGGTTCACCCTCTGTCTGCCACTGAAGGCAGGACCAGGTCTAGGTCAAGGTTGTGCTAGAACAGCAGTGGAGAGAAGTCACATTCCTCAAAGAGCCACGACTTTGAAATTTCAGGGTTGTGCAGCCCCAGACCTGCAGGGATTGGGGAAGTCTGGTGACTGGGCTTCCTCAAGGATACAACACGCAGCTGGAGTTTAGCCTGGTGAGGGCACCTCTCCCCAGCTTCCTTGACTAAAGCTAGAATGATCTCAGAACTCTTCATGCTTCTGATCAGTCGCCCCCTCCACTCAAGGATGGAAACCAGATCCCAAGTATCTTTGAAAGAGATGCCTTACAACAGTGGCCTCTCTCTGCAACACCCAGACATTCCAGTGAGCAAAGGACCAAAATCAACTGCCTTCAACTTGAATCAGGGAGTGGAATGATTCATATTCAAGGCCCTTAGGCAATATCAAAGCTCCACTAAGCCATTATATATGCCCCCTCCAAGGTGCTCAGTGTGCGCTCTGTGTAGGAACTGGTTTACAGTAGAGAACCGGAAGCATCTACGCAAACAGAGTCCATACGTACCCTGCAAAATGTCAGGCACACGTCTCCACAGTGTACAATGTTCAACTAGCATCTTCCAAAGCTTATAAACCCTGCAGAGGGAGAAAACTGACTTTCATCTCCAAACCCGAGGCCAGCCCACGGTTTCAGCTCCGAGCCCTTACTCACCTCCTCCATGACCACAAGGCCAGAAGATGGTTGGATGCCCTGCTTCAGCTGTGCCCTAAGCCCTTATCCCAGTGTTTTCCCTGTTAGGGCACTTGGACTGAGCCCTGTGCCCCACACCCCTCAAACATCTGCCTCTACCTTGAGCTTGGAGGGACCCGAGGTACCTGCTCTTCAGGAAGTGAGAACAGCCCTCCCCCGGACACCGGCCCATACCTGGAGACTTGAATCCTCTCTGCAATACACGAGAAGGAGACTGTCTTCGGCATCACAGAGGCAGGCGGTGACAGGGTGGTCCTCAAGCTCTGCTCTCTGCCTGTTGTGTGTGTGCACTGTGAGGAGGAGCTGGAATCCTCTAGGGTGAGTGGAGGGGACTGAGGATCTAGAGGGTGATTTAAATGTCTGGGGTGTGATAGCTGGATTCTGGGCCCTGTTTCCTTTTGTGAGTTTCCTCTGGGAGTCACAATAATCTCAAGTATTTAACTCCTATTTTCCAGAACATCACATTAAACTATCAAAATACATTTTAAGAAGACCTAATTAGTAGCACTGGAAAACATGAGGTGGTCAGTAATGCAAAAAGTTCAGCAATTTATTCACAAAGAACAGCAGGGTTCTCTTCCAACTAATTCTGAGGACAGTCCAGCTCACTCTGGATCATTTTCAGAGACACCGTAAAGGGAATATATACTTGGTTGGAAACTTCAGTTCACAGCCCACTCAGTTAAGAGATCATATAAGGGCGGAAAGATGTTGAATATCGGACTGGTTTACCTAGGTTTTGATTGTTAATATAAAAAATTACCAATATCCTTACCAAGAACACATTGAAATAGTGTAAAATTATTTACTAAGCACTAAAGAGTATTTTCAATACTTGATAAAGACTGGAAAACCACTGAGACCTCATCAGAATCTGCCACAACGCAAGTAAAGGGATGTAAGCCGGAAATTTACAAACAAAACTAATGAATCTGGGACCCACCCTTCCTCTGCCGGCTGCTCCTGCCGCTCATACCCCCTCCTCCTACTCTGTCCTGTTCCCCTCTCTGATGATCCTCTTTCTATTTTCATTTTCACCCCTGCTTCTTGCCCAGGTCACTCTCCTTCACTCTCACTGTCTTTCCGAGCCCATGGGATCCACTTCCCCATCTTCAATTTACCCCTGCTTTCTCTGTCTCACTCTTTCTCCCTGGTTCTCCCTTGACCTCTCTTTCCCCTTCCTCCCCTGCCCCACCTCCGCATTCACAGGCCTAGGATGAAGACGCTCCAGCCCCGGAAGAGCACACTTCCCAGTGGGACATCACTGGGAAGGTAAACACACCCTGGCAGGCACAGCCAGTGACAGGGGATTTGGGGCCCTGGAGTGTCGCCGGACGCGGGCGGGTAAACGCCCCAGCACGGGGCTCGGGGGCCTCTCTGAGGGCGCGACTGGGAAGGGGAGGCCGGCGGGCAAAAGGGCTGGCCCCGGAATGACGCGAGGATGGGCGGGGGACTCAGGACAGGACTGGGGTCGGCAGAACCGGAGTGAGGAGGCGGCGCGGCGACCCGATGCCACCCCCAAGGGTCGGAGAATACACCGCCCTGAGAGAGGGGGCCTGAAGCGGCGCGGGGTGGGGAGCGGAGACGGTGAGAAGAACCAGGGCGGGACGGTGGGAGCGGGGACCGGCCACGCAGCGACTTTACCGGAGACAGACGCGGGTCCGGGCCCGGCAGCACAGCGCCTCCCGACTAGGCGGGGCTCCCCATGGGCGAGGCTGGCGCGGGCGGGGGCTGTAAGGTCCCCGGGGCCGCGGACGCCGGGGGTGGAGGACGCGGGGCTGGGGGCATCGACGCGCGACTCTGAACGAGGAATACTGAAACTCACTCCGGGAGCCGGGACTCACTCCCGGAAACTGCTTCCGGGAGGGCAGGAAACGGAGAGCTCGAGGGGGCGGGGCCTGGTGGATGTGGGCGTGGCAGCCCCGCCCCACCCCCGGGCGTTTCCGGTCCGGAAGTGCCGCCGCCCGTGGGAGCGGAGTCTCCCGTCTCCCGCCGCGCCCGCGGGAGCGTGTTGGGCGTCCGCCCTCCTTCAGGTTAAACGTTGGAGCTGCTTTAATGTAAAAGCTTGGAGTTGTGAGGCCACTTATATTGAATGCGGAGATCTTTCCTTCTCAAAACATGGAAAAGATTTAAGTCCAAAACCCTTTTGAGGAGCGTGTCCCGTGGGTCCTGTGACACCGTTAGGACAAGTGTGAGGGACGCCCTGCGCCTTGTGAGACGAGGAAGAGGGAGCTCGGCGTCTGTCTGTGCAGGCAGGACGAAGAAGCGCGGCTTGCTCACGGCGGGACAGAGCGCCTGCAAGTCCGAAGGCCTCAGAATGAAGCCTGCCCTGCCAGCACCTCGGCCCTGGACGTCCCCGACTCCACGGCTGAGCCGCCTGGTCTGTGGTATTTGGCTGTGGCAGCACGAACTAAGACAGATTTCCATAGTGAGTAAAGACCTCGGTCATTCCACCAGGTGAGGAACCACGACCAGGTGCTGGCTGACGGGAAAGGATCGTAGAGCCAACAGCGGAAGAGGTAGGTTTACATCCCAGCTGTGGCCCCGTGACCAGTTACAGCCGTGACGGTGTGATTGTTACGAGTGCTTCCTCCTTATTCTGTTATGATGTGTGTGTACAGCTGACCCCTAAACATCGTGGGGGTGAGGGGCGCCAACCCCCTGCACAGTCAGAAATCGCCCCTCCAAGTCTAGGGTTCCACATCGGAGGTTTTAGCCAATCGCGGGTCGCATAGTACTATAGTATGTATTTATTGGGAAAAAAATCTGCATGTAAGTGGACTTGCTCAGTTCACATGCTGTTCAGGGGTCAGTTGTTTATGGCGAGTGACTGTTTTATTCAGTCTCATGTAATTTATTCCCTCATGTAATTTAAGATATATTGACTATGTCATAGTACTTAAGCATTGTTAATTTTACATCATATTTAAATCATAGGATGTCAAGGAGAAGAGTAAAACATCACTCAAGGATTTCACATCCGCTGGAGAGGGAGCTTGTGTGTTTTCTGTTGTATGAAGGACAGGTGCATCATTTTAGGGGGAATTGTGGCCTGGTTACTGTCTATTTGGACACTGAGCATTAAGGTTTAAGGAGATGTGTGTAGGCGCCAAGTTGACGGGGGCAAACTAATCATGGCTGGTTTTATTTCTCAACTTGCTTGGGCCACAGGGTACCCAGATACTTGGTTGAATATTGTTCTGGGCATGTCCCTGAGTGTGATTCTGGTTGGAACAAACATTTGCGTCAGTGAACTGAGCGAAGCCTATTGCCTTTCCCTTGTGGTGGTCTCACCAAGTCCGTTAAAAGCCTGCCTAGAACGAACGGCTGAGCAAGAGGGAATTGGCTCGCTCGCTCTCTGCCTTATTGTCTTCAAGCCGGGACATGCATTAAGCCCTCACGTTGCTGCGCCTTCCGCCGCCTATTCCATCCAGGCCTGCGGAGGTCCAGACACCTGGGTTTGCACTTGGTTAGAGAAGGTGCGGGAGGAGTAGCGCGTGGTGCTTCTGACCAGCAGGGGGCGCCACCGGCCTGCACAAGCATTTCACAGGTTTCTTGGATCAGTTTTGGAAAGAAAGTAATGCATTCAAATACAGTCAGGCTCCTTCTGAGGTTCCTGTCAGAAATCCGTCTAGAGGAGACCAGCAGCCTAGTAAACTCTAGCGAGAAGCTAGAGCTGGAAATGCAGTGTGGGGTTGTGATCAGACAGACTCCGCTCAGGTAACAGAAGCCACACTGGGCATTGTACACAAGGAATTTCGTGCAAGGAATTGAATTACTGGAAGGTTGAAGAGGCCCAGGAGTTAGCAAGTACAGGATGGAGTTACCACCTCTGGCCCAGAGGAGCAGAAGGAAAGCAGAGCAGCCAGGGACCAGCGCTGGGCACGCTGGGGCTGGCTGCCTGCAGCCGAGGCTGCACCTGAGGGGACGGGGCATGGTGCAACTGGTGCTCGGACCTCCGGGTCGGGTGCATCCCGCATGAATGAAGCCTAACGTTTTAAGGAAGGAGCGCTCTCTAACTGGGCTCAAACAAACGAGGTGCAGCAAGTTTTAAGACTTCGAAGAGGAGACGTGGCCAGACAGGAGTGTGGCAGCCAAGGTGCACAGCAAGCAGCTCAGAGCCCAGCTAGTCCTCTTACTGCCGAGGGAGTAGAGCCTGGATGCTGCTGGTTCCTTTAGGGACACTTGTGAGGCTGCTGAGAAAGTCAAAAGAAGGTGGAGCCAGAGGGATTTGGGGAAGGGTCCACTTCTTTTGCAGCTAGTTTCAACTTCTTGCTCCATCTAACTGCTCACTTGAGCTGCTAAAGAATGCTCTGTCTTTAGGGTTGGCCCTGTTGCTCTCTGCTCACCCAGCACGGTTTTCTGTGGACATGCTGAGAACACAAGACCAGAAACCACAAGTCTGACTAGAGGTGTAACCACGCCCCTGAGTGTATGGCCGCGGGCTTGGATGTCCTCACCCGTACTGAGCGTGTTGAGTTGAGTGATCTCTGGGGGCCTTGCTGCTTGCATGGGCCATGAGCTGATCAACTCTCACTCTGAGTGGCCGGAATGAAGATGCTACTCACCCAACAGCCAGTGTGAATTTAGACAGAGTCCAGTTTCTTTGTGGAACTCGACGTTCTAGGTCAGACAGGGAACAGGAGACATTCTACACAACTCCTGCCTATAAAGGAGAGCGAGGAGGAGGGTGGGACAGTGGTCCTGCTGGGGCAGCCACAGCTAGTGTCCAGCAGGGAGTCCAGTTACCGTGTGGCTGAATCTCCTCACATTGTAAGTAGAATCTCCTGACATTTGGTAAGAACAGCCCCAGGTCACACGTCTGTTTGAGGCCAGGACTATGAGGTTAGAATGCAGTTCATCAGACTCGCACTCCAGCCTTTCCACGCCACCTGTTTTATTTGTTAATTCATTCACTTTATCCATCAGTAAAGTAACTAACAAGCCCTATACCAGGAATGGGGGATGCAAAATGAACAAGTTATAGAGCCTTCCCTCAGAAAGCTCATAGCCTAGGAAGGGGACTTTCTGTGGCATCAGAAGCTGGACTGCCAACTTCAGAGAATCCAGAATTTGGAGGCCCAGGAGAGAAGACCCAGAGAGGACTGCTGCCCTGAGAGCCCAGCCGGCGTCCCCACCTCCTCCCTGTGTGTAGTCGCAGCTTAGCTTTTAATTATTCTCTCTTTTTTTGCAGCAAAATGGTGTCAGTTCAGCTCGGCAGCCTCCAATCTTATCTTCAAAGGAAAGGCATTCGACTTCGCAGCGACCATCCATTCTCTGACAGTGTAGTTGTCTTTGAAATCCTCCTCTGGCTAAGTGAAGAAAGCAGTCAGTCTTCAGTTATCCAGTACTGAATTACTGGAAGGCAAAATTCCACCACTCAGGCCAAGCCAGAGCTCCACACTACTGAATCTCATGGCGACACAGAGTGAAAGTGGACAGCAGAAAAGCAGATGTGACCTGAACAGCTGTGCCTGAGCTCGGATCCCCGGTTCAGTATATACAGGGTGCTTCCTTTGTACTCAAGTAGAAAAACCAAGAAAGGGTTCCCTCTGCTATAATCTTTGTTGGACATAGAGAAACAGTGTTTCTTCCTGGGGCGGGGGGAGACAATATCCTTTCTAATTCCAATAAGCAGTCTTTTGCAATAAAAGATTTTTTTCCTATCTTCAAAATAATAGTATATAACAAAAGGTACAGAGCATGCTATTTACAGCGGAGGCAGGGCAGTGGCAGCCGTGTGCTTTGGGCATGTGGTTGTGGAGTGTCACAGTTTGGGGGTAAAGCTTCAGTATTTTCTTTGGTATTAAAAGAAGCACAGTACGAACCTGCTCTGCAAGTGACGTCCGCAGAATAACGTGTTTAGCTCTGACAAGCCGTGTGAGAGAGGCATAGACACTGTGCATTCATTCAGGACAAAGAAACTAAGCTGAAGAGAGTAAAATACTTTAAGAGACAGTGATTGGGGAAAATGGTGATATGTATTCTCTGGAGAAATCATGGAAAGAACTGGCAGTTGCTCTCAAAAGGTGTAATACTTATTCTCGGACAGAATGACTCTGGGGGCAGGGAATGCGTGCACATTAGCTGTCGTCCGGCTCAGACACTACCACACTGAAGGCTTGTTAATGCCCAAGGTGGGGCTAATCAGTGGGAAAAAAATCACAAGAACTTAGATTTCTGCTTGGAGTAAAGGGAAACATTTTAAACAGTCCAAAGTTGAATGCAGAATACTATGAGTAACAGATCACTGAAATTTATCCGGCATCAGGACAATCAATCAACATCTTCAGGGAAAAAAAAAGATCAGTCTTCAGAAAAGCCCTATTATTATTTCCATTTATTGGAAATAAGTTGAAACCCAGAGTTCATACATCTTACAAGGTTTGAAACTGAGGTTCAGCCTCAGATATTTTGGCATAATAGTCTGTGTTCATTTCCTCTTTTATTGCTCATGAAACTCACTTCCAGCACTGAGAGTGTCTGTGGTTGTGGTGGTGGTGGTCCTAACGTGTCCCGACTCTGGTGCTTACTGAGTCAGACGGGCCTGAGCTGAGTTTTGGGGACAGGGAGCCCCTAAGTATCTGCTTCCCTACATTGGTTTGAATCACTTGGAGTCCTGATGAAAGGAGATGGAGAGGACAGTTAAAATTTCTTTCTCGACTCTGGATCCATTGTCTGACCTCCCAGGAAACAGACTGAGGGCAAAAGTTATTTTACAAGAGAGGCTGTGAAACACGAGGGCAGTGTTCCTCAGGTCTGTTCCTTCTTTCTATTCCTGTCTGTTTTCAAAAGTGCAATACAGATAACCACCTCCCAGGAAGTCCTTGTTCCCCCAGTTAGAACCGAACTTCTATTTCCATGGCTTCTCTTTTATTTCTCACCTTCATTGCACGTATGAGAACTGTTCTGTATCATAGTTCTTTGTCCATCTGTCTGTCTCATCCATTCACTATATACGCTTTAAATTATTAAGTGCCTGTTTATTATTACAGGCAACCAATTTTTGACCAACACAGAAATAAAAGACTAATAAACTTTAAGCAAATTAAGAGCAAAGACCATGCTCTAATGTTCACCTCCACTTTACCTCCCTTTATTATAGGATGTTTATATATAATTATATTATATATCATTACATTCCAGAACAATTTCTCGTTAAGTGATAAGCACACATTCAATAGCTATTGACCAGCTAGCCTTCTGCAGCCAGATTGTGTAATAAATAAGTGCAGAAATTCAGAAATCATAAGGAAGAAATAGACAGGATACCTCATGGTGCATGGACAGTCCCATCGGGAAAGTCTTCATAACAGGAGGAATGAGGGATAGTTGAGGAGGGGATGGAGGTAAAAGTTCATTAGAGATGGGTTCTTGGCTGAATTGAGCAAAGACAGCCCAGTTCAAAGGACTTAAAAGAAAACTAATCGAGATGCTAATGTTTGAAGTGATGTGATTTTCCAGCAGTATATGAGAGCTAGAAAGTCCAAGATCATCTAAGGTTAAGAGATTCATGAGATTCATTTAAGAGATTCATTTACCAATTAGTGGGACATGAACAAATAGACTGGTAAGAACCTGTTATTGTAAGTTTGATTTCATTTAGGCTGTAAAGGCTGCTCTTCTCTGAATTAGCGAGTGCCGCCGACTGCCTCTTGAGATTTTTTTCTCGTTTTAAAACAATCATTTTGTCATCCACTGAAGCTGGGTCAAAGATTACAGAATGAGGAAACAGATCTAAATGAAAAGGGAGATCTGAACCCGTTGGTAGAGCTTTTAGGGAAATTAACTAGATATTCTTCTGGTTGGAGATGGTCTGGATCAGTGTGGTCCCATTAATACGTGTCCAAAATTAGAAGAAGATTTCCTGTAACTAGTTTGTTTCTGGGACCTTTTTAGGACATAGGACTGAATCAAGTACTTTTCTGAAAGATGAGCTTTCTTCTCAAAAGACAGACCCTGAATAGATTTTGCCTCAAAAGACATCCTTATATCTATCAGGATTTCTCTCTTACCTGAGAAAATTTGAGCAAGAAGAATGATGGCAGCAAGAATCAAGGAAAAGATTGTCATGGCTCCGGGAATCAGTGGGGAGAGGCTGAAGGAGGCACGGTCGCTGGAATCTGACTCTCATCAAGGGAAATTGATTAAAACAAGTTCTACAGCTCTGAAAAAGCCAGAAGTTATTTTTGGTTTTTAATGCTCACTAAGAATGAATTATTTTCCATGCTCCATTGCATAGTGTGTGGGCTGATGGATCAGATTTTACCTAAATAAACGCTGATGAGACAGTAAGGAAAATAATCCGGCTCCTTGCCTGGAATTCTCTAGTCTGCACCTCCATCCAGGCTGTTCCTGTGTTCCCTCAGTTCCGTCTCAAGTACCACCACTTCCGTAACGTCCATAACCGCCATCTCTTCTTCTTCTCTGAGATTGTGTATGTCACTTACTCTTCTCTAAGAGTCACTCAGACATTTTTGATTGGTGCCTGTATAATTGTTTTTTTAAGATTATACTTTATGAAAAATTTTTATCTCCCAATTATACTGTAAGCTTCATAAAGGAAAATAACTTTCTTCGTATCTATTTTCTTTCCGTTTATGCCCTGCAGCAGTGCTTTGTAACAGTAGGTGCTCAAAATTTATGTATTTGACTTATTGATAGTTGTCCAGTTAGAGGAATCCATGAATAAACAAGCAATTAATATGGGAATAGTAATGAAATGTTCCAAGTTTTTGCATATTAAGGATAATCATGTTATTAAATATGACCACATTTTGTATTTTATGGGAATAGCATTTATTTGACAAATGTGTGTTGGACAATAAATACCATGTGTACTTATGTTAACAAGAAATTGATTAATGTTAATGGACTGGAAATTCTCATTAAAGGCAGGATTAATGGTCAGGTGGATTAAGTGGGAAGATGAATCTGTGTGTTGTCTGTAAAGGACGCATTTCTCCAAGAAACTTTTTGTCTCTTGAGTTAATTATAAGCTCACAATAAATTGCAAAAATTGTACAGAGAGTTCTTGTGTACTCAGCCTGTTCCCATGGTGACATCAGCCATTATGTGAATATCAAAGGTAGGAAATAAATTGGCACAATAAAATTAACTAGACCACAAATTATGAGGAAAATATTTAAAATATAAAGACAGGTTGAAAGTAAATGATGGAAAACCTTAAACTATGAAAATATCAAGAGTAAGAAGGCTGGAGTGGCACTTTTGCTTCAGATAAAATAGAATATTATCAGATGGAAAGTAGAATGTTGCATAAGGAAAATAGGAATAATTCATTAAAAAAAGAACAAACTTTGGGTTTTATTGATTTTTTCCTATTGTTTTTCTTAGCCTTTATTTTCACTCTAATCTTCATTATTTTCTTCCTTCTGCTTGCTTTGGGTTTAACTGGTTCTTCATTTTTAGCTTCTTAAGGTGAAAAAAGAGTTTATTGATCTGAGACCTTTCTTTTTAAATATAGGCATTTACAACTGTAATTGTTTCTCTAAGCATTGGTTTAACTGTATCCCATAAGTGTCTTTTTTTTAAATTTTCATTCTCTTTAAAGTGTTTTCTAGTTTTTCTTGTGATTTCTTCTTTGACTCATTATTTATTTGGGGGGGGGTGTTTAATTTTCTCACATGTACGTCTTTCCCAAATGTCCTCTGTTATTTCCTTGTGGTTGGAGGCTTGTCTTGTGGCCTAACGTGTGGCCTGTCCTGGAGGACAGTTCGTGAAACTTGGGAAGATGTGTGTTTTGCTGTTGCTGAGTGGGCCGTGCCGGCGACGTCAGTGAGGTCCGACTGGTTTACAGTGCTCTTCAAATCTTACATTTTCTTGCTGATCTTCTTTCTTAGTTGTTCTGCCCATTTCTGGTTGACTTCTTACGAATTTCCTCAACCCCTCTCCTTCCAAAGCTGCCTCCTAAAGCCACTGCCTGCTGGGGCCCTCTCCCCTAGCACACCGCGTTATTGGGGATTTCCCCTTTAAGGTGTTCTCAGCCCGGTCACCTTGTGCGGCCTTCACTTGGTCCGTGGGAATCACGCTCATCTCCCTGCCTAATATCATCAGTGCAGTCACTCCCTGCTGCTCTTTTCTTGTCCTGCCATCATGGGTAACTCCATCCAGAGCTCCTTCCCTGTAGACAGTTTCAGGTGTGAGTCAGGCTTGAGCACCGTAGGATGGCCATCCAGTTCTCCAGGTAACCTTCTTAAAGCCAATCTTATAGGGATTGGTGTGAAAACGATGTTTTCCTCACCTTTCCCTCTTGAGAGGCAGCGTGAAGTCCCAATCACAGCCCCCTAACACATTGTCCAAAGAAACCCTGTCCCCTGACCTTTTTTTTTTTGGCCTATCTCTTCATGGTTTAGTACCTCGATGCGGCATGTGGAAATTAATGATACTTAGTGTTTTATCCTCTGCCTTTTGGGAATTCAGCCCAAATTGATCAGTCTTGCTCTATAGTTATTGTCATTCCCTTTCAGTTACTGTGAGGGAATCAAGAAGAGGTAATAGATGGTTAGCACGATAAGACCTACAATAGCTACAATTTCAAAATTAATGAAGTTAAAGTCACACTAAACAGGAGCAATATGTAGACCAACTAAAGTGGAGATTCTTCAGGAGGAATCCAGCTCCACCAGTGTCTCTTCTTGCCTTCCCTTTCCCTCTGACCCACCCATCATTCAGAAGACCGTCCCCTGCAGAAGATCCGGCGGACGCTGATGTTAGAGATCTCCATCAGTTACCGTGGAATCATCAGAGGCCTGTCTGAGGGCGTCACGGGCGTCCACCTGACATCTGAACGGACTACATTTTCAAGTAACAAGAAATTAGTATGAGTTGAGACTTTGTTTTTCTGTAGGAAGGACTGGATGTCTCAGGATAAAGGAGCTAATTGGATGGGAAAGTTCTAGAAAAGAGCCTAGTACAGAAGAGAGAAGAGAGCAAGAGGAAGGGAAATTTGTGAACAGGGGAGCATCTGTGGGAGGTTCCCTCTGGGACCACAAGCCACGTGACTCTGGACGCTAGGTGAGGGAATTGCTATGGTGATATCAGGGCACAGCCCCTGGCCCAGTGCTCTGTGTGACACTGTGAGACATGCACATGAGTTCCTATGAAAGAGACATCGGTTAGGGTCTAGAACATTTTCGATGTTCGGAATCAAGCAATGTGGTATTTGGAATAAGTAGGGAATATCCTGGTTTCATGATGTTCTGTAAACCATCAGCTGCGCTCTTGGAGATCTGGGGAGAAGCATCATCCACCAAATGGTCACTCAGCTGTAGGTTCTTAAGACCAAGTCCCCCACTTCCCACTTCCCTGGGTTTAATTCCTGTGAAAATGCAGGAAACATTATAGAGTTCACAAGGGTTATGTCTCAGATCTCTTTTGGAGGACAATTGATAAATCGATCTGACAGTAGAGCCAACCTAAAAGCCAAATCAGTCAGGCTCCAGGCATGAAAACAGTTCCCACACCAGATGGTTCAATAGAGAGAGAATTTAATGTGGAAAGCTGATGAAGTCTTGGGAAAGCTGAACATGCAAATGGGAGCTAACATTATACACAGCTGGAATCCTCCACTGCCGAATGGTTGGAGGGAAAACAGGAGGCTACGGTGTGAGCCCAGGAGCAAGGAGCAGCGGCAGGAGCCGGGCGTGCAGGGGGGCTGCCAGGTGAGCAGTGAGGGCACACAAGCTTGGGCTTCATTGTTGGAGATGGAGCCACTGCTGGAGCAGAGAGAGAGACTGAGGGAGGAGAGCCCCGAGGTCTCCTGTTCTCTTGTCTACGATTCTTCTTTCTTCCAGGCACTTGCAAGGACTGAAACCAGCCAGAAAAGCCAGGAAGCTCAGAGAATGTGGTTTGCAGAGAATAGTGCCCACTGTCCAGAGCAGAGCAGGGAAAGGACAGGAAGTGGATCTCAGTGCAGAAGGACACACGACACAACAGTACATTCTCACACGTTGAGCAAAATACTGTTCATTCTCACATGTTAACACTGAGTGATTAAGTTTGAGACACTACTCAAAGGACTGGCAATCTTGACCTTTATTTTGTGAAGCTACAAATTTTATTTCTTAAGGCAAAGTTATACAGTCAACCATTTATGTATATTCCATGCTGAGCATATGAAATTAATCTAACATTTTCATCCTCTGGCAGGAAGAGACATGCTGGTGCCCTAGACCTTAACTGAGTAAGTGCTGAGATGTTTAAAAAAAAATCGCGTATCCTCTGACACCTGATGTCTTTTGTCTTCTTGATGATGGCCATTCTAAGGGGTGTGGGGTGGCACCTCGCTGTGGGTTTGCGTTGCATTTCCCTGGTGCATAGTGGTGTTGGGCATCTTTTGTTGAACCTGTTGGCCATTTTGATGCCATTTATGACCGTGTGGATGGGTCGTGAGCACACTGTGCTGAGTGAGATAAGTCAGACAGAGAAAGACAAGTACTGTATGGAATCTAGTATATGTGGAATCTAAGAAAGTCAAACTTGTTAAAAAGAAAAAAAAAACAGAATAAATGATGCTTACCAGGGACCGGAGGTAGGGGGATGAAAGTGATGTTGTTTAAGGGAACAAACTTGCAACAGGTAGTAGATAAGCCATAGCGATCTAACGCACGGGGTGCTGAATGCAGACAACAGCACTGTGCTGTAATCATCGAACTGGCTAAGAGACTAACATGTAATTATCCCGACGGCTAAAGAAAAAGGATAACTGTGTATTATGATGGAGGTGCTAGATTGTCACTACAGCAGCAGTCATATTATAAAATATAAATGTATCCAATTAACACGTACATCTTAAATTTACGCAGTTTTATGTCAAATGTAGTCAATAAAAATACACCATAAGTACTAGAATCAAGAGTGACAATATATAGGTACACCAAGAAATGATGCGGAGAAGATAATTTCTTACATCCTATAGAATTGTATCTCCATTAACGGAGACGTGGATGCCATTTCTGTGTATCTGTTCTGTGAGAATTAGTACTTAACAGATACACAGAAATGAGAGTTGTGTGAACATCCTTTACTGGTGTCCAGTTATGAACTTGAGGAATAGATATTCTCTCTAGGTCTCAATTTCTTTGAATATAAATGGGGATAATAAAATCTACCTTATAAGATAATCTTGAGTCATACAAGAAAAGTATGGGGAAAAGATTCATAAATTGTAAGGTATTCCATACATGTAGTTATAGTATCTGATTAAGTGAGGAGCTATTAGGTAACCATTCATGACTTGATTTTTTTTTAATTGAATTAGAGTTGATTTACAACATTATGCTAGTTTCCGGTGTACAACATAATGATTCAATATTTTATAGATTATACTCTATTTAAAGTTATTATAAAATATTGGCTTATTCCCTGTGCTGTGTGATACATCCTTGTAGCTTATTTATTTTATACATAGTCATTGGTACCCCTTAATTCTCTACCCCTACCTTGCCCCTCCCCACTTCCCCCTCCCCACTGGCAACCTTTTTAAAGATCATCTTTAAAAATAAGCAAAGAAGGGGGAGGGGTAGAGCTTAGTGGCAGAGCGTGTGCTCAGCATGCACGAGGTCCTGGGGTCAATCCCCAGTACCCCCATTAACGAAAGAGCAAACAAAAAAGCAAAGAAACAAAGCAAAGAGAGAAGGAGATGAGAATGATCCTGACACCCGCTCACTGGGTGACTTGGTTAAGCTGCATAACTTCTCTTGACCTTCCTTGAATATCCGGTCCTGCTTCTGAGGCCAGAAGAGCGCCGGTCTGGCTCACCCCATCCTCCGCCGGCAACACACAAAGTTCAACTTGCAGCTTCCAATGACCTTCTCCTCCTCGGTGCACATCTTCCTGCATTTGCCCCGCCCGAGCCTGCACGGCTCGCAAACAGCGAACTCACCTATGGCAGGAAAGAGCTGCTGACCCGCCTTTCCTGGGACTCTCTGGAAAAGGGGGGAGGGCAAAGGCCGCGAAAGAAGCGAGGGTTTGTGATTATGATTGTAAAGAGCGTTTTCCAAAAGCAGCCTGGATCTTTCCAGAGAGCTCCACTTTTTCCCACCAGGTACGTATCTTCAAAGTCCTTAGTAGACAGGACACCTGGTCCAACTGCGCGCACTTCTGAGCCACACAAATTGATAAACGCATGGAGGTCAGGATCACACTGACCTCTTCTTAAACATGAACTCTCCCCACTCAAAAGCTCAATCTCAAGCTTCTCAACTCCTTGTTCATGCCCAGTTTCTAGTTTTATTATTTTCTCCTAAATTCCAGTCTCCTTCCTCACCTGGGACCTTCTGCATTAGCATCCGCCTGGCTTTCCCAGCTCACGCAACAAGCGCCACCTCTCTTCACACGGATTTGCTAACAGCTGTGCTCTGCTGCCTCCGCCTGGCCCACTTCCCGAGCCCTTTGTTACTGAGGCAGGGGAGCATTTTCACCCTTAGAATCAGATAGGATATGGAAAGCTCTTGTGTTTCTAATATGACTGACTCTTTGGAAGGCTGGGTTTATCCCTAGGAGACCATTTGCTGCAGGAGTGGGGCACGCGTTCCCCTACCCATCATCCTAATAACCCTCCCTGGTGACGTTTGTACGCAGGGCTTATATGCCGCTGGACTCCCTTGCGCTGACCAAGTAGCTGTTTAAGACAACACCTGCTCTTTTCCAGGCAGCGTGTGGCCCGACTGTCCAGTGCTCACGCTGCACAGTGTGCTGAAGGTTTTGTGCGCCGCTTCTGCTTAAGAGCATTGCTGGGCATTGCTACCTGGTTGAGAATCACAGAATTAAAACTTGTGACTCTGGTGTCCTGAGTCGGAAGCCTACCTCACCACTTATCCTTCATGTCCCCTGGGCAGAATTATTCGACATCGCATCTTGGCTCTGCCTCGTCTTCTGTAAAGTGGTGGTTATACAGTGCCGTCCTCAGAGGGATGTTTTGAAGGTTACATGACATAATCCACATGAAGTCGTTAATAGACTGCATGGTACACAGTAAGCACTCAGTGACTTAGGGGCACCTTATTCTTTCTCACTCTGAAATTCTGTCTAAACATTAAAAAAAATTGTTTACAAGTGCCCAGGAGTATTTATTTCAATTCTGTTTATAATATGCTTTCTTCCTGTATAGGGTGAGTCCACCAGAAAAGGTCAGCAGACTAGACTGTTCATTATAACAGCTCCTCTGTCGTGGTGACGGTTCACTGAACCATGCTGACGCCTTTATTTGTGGCATACGTGTGTGGCACGCTTTACTGGATTTAGGAGCAGAGGCTGGAGAGATGGAGAAGCATGTTCATACAGCAGCCTACCTGGCTGGTACAAGCCTGGTCCTGTGACCTTGGTTTAGTTAGTACCATGAGCTAATGACAGTAGCCACCAGGTCCAAATCTCTGTGGCCAAAAGCACAGTCCAGTAGCAAAGAGGTTTCTCTGTGAAATGGGAAGTCCAAATATGACGTTGGGAACAAAAGGGAGAGAGGAAGGTAGGGTTAGCGGACTGGGGTTTCAGCAGTTCTGTTTTCACTACGGTCCCCATCGCTCCCTTGTCTCCAGGAGTCAGAGCTCCCGGGCAGGGCCAGGGTTCCCAAAGGGGAAATCCTACACAAGGGTTTAACTTACCCGCTGGAAATGGCTGGACGTACTCGAGTCCTGCCCGGCACCCTAATTTCAAAACAAAGCACATTTGCGATATTAAAATCAATGCAGGAAACAGCACTATGTAAAACACTGTTCTCAACTTCACACACCTGCCGTCAAGGGGCAGCTGGCCACAGAGGGCGCATCTTTATTCTGTGTTTGAAAGCTCGAACTCCTGGTATCCAGTAAGAACAAGTTGTTTTAAAAGGAGGGAGAGAGAAAGAAAAGGGAGGGAGGGAGGAAGGAAGGAAAGGAGGAAGAGTAGCTTGCTCTTAGAAAATGCTACTGCAGGTTTAAGAATTCCCGTGAAACGTGCAGTGAGGCGCTGCCTGTTGCTCTCAGTTCTGGAGTTACCCTCAGGTACATAGAAGAATCATCAAGCTTTATGATCGGCCCCATCAAAATCCCATCAGTTCACATTTACCTGGTGGAAATTGAGCCAGAATGAGGAAAAAGGCCAAGACAAAATAAAACATCTTCCTGCTCGGGGCCATCTCGGAGGGAGGACTCTTCAGAACAGAGGTTTGGGATTCCTTCAAGAGGATGGGACGCTCGCTTATTTACATTTGAAGGTAATGGGAAATGCTCGTGGTCAGTGAAGTGAATCAGTAAAGAAAGCACCTCTCTCTGCTCCGTTTCCCAAGATCAAGGGCTGGAGTGACGCGTAATAACCCTTGGCCTCCAAAGAGCCTTGAATTTGGGCGGTTCCGACGGGGTAAGAGGAGGAGCGGCGGCCGGGAGCGGGAGCAGTGCGGGGGAGGCGCAGGCCCGTCCTGCCCGCCCCGACAGAGGCCGGCCGCAGGCTCGCTGTGACTGACACGGGAGTGTTTTGAACGTGAGGCATGCTCAGAAGGAGGTCGTGCCCTGTAAGAGCCCAGTCACTGTGGACTGCCACTTTCCTGGCTTCCATACGTACTGTCCCCAAGTGTCCCAAGGAGAAAGGGAGGGTAGCAGTCACTTTGCCAAGTTCGCTGTGAATCCCTGAGCCTGTAACAGCGCCACTGAGTAGACCAAAGTCCCTACTGCCACATCCTTTTCCTTCATTAAGACCACGAGCATTAAAAGCTATAATGCATCACCGTGCCCCCAGAGCAGCCCCGTCCCGTCGCCCGTGCCCGGGCAAGGCTCGACTCTCCGGTTTTGAAACGGAAGACGGGGCCGTGATCGTATGTGGGTAGTACTCTGCGTCGTGCAATGACAGGTGGGATCGTTTTAAAAGGCAGACCCTAAAGTCGGATCAATTTAGCAAGTTTGTGACCTTGAACAGACGGCTTAATTTTTTGAACCTCAATTTCCTCATCCTTAAAATATGGACGTGATAATGGTACCTACTTCACTGGATATTTGAGATGATGAACTGAAATCACGTATGTAAAGTGCTTACCAGCGTGTCTGGCTATTGTTACTAGTACTAATTACTGTGTCTTTCTATCCAGATTTTCTGTAAACTCTTTTTCAAGTCCACTAATACATAATGAACCTTTCCTGGCCTATAAAACACAGCAGTGCTTTTATTTGTATGTTTACACACACTTAAGCTTCAGGAACACAAACTAATGAGCATGTGTTTGGGATACAGAGCTGAACCTAAGGCCTTGCAGCTTCGAGACATCTCTAATAACCGTAGCCAGGCTGGCTTTGTGGACACGTGACCAGGGCAGTCACACAGCCCTTCCTGTCACCTTGGGGTTTAAAGGACTGTAGTCAAAGTGCACTGAAATTCTCAGCCATTTTATCTTTGAGTATGTGCTTTGTAAATGAAGTCTGACCACCCTCAGAGGGTTTCTGGCCCCTCCCCCGTGGTCCCTAGGCCCCACTTGACCGCCTTTCTGCTACCTCCCAGCGACCACCATCCACCCTCAGCTTGGACCGGGTGTGGACGTACCCAGAGGTGTTTGGGGTTGACTTCCTGATCCCTGAGCATCTCAGGGCACGATGTCGATCAACCCCTGTGGGGGCTACTAGTGCTGTGGTGAAGGCGGGCAGCTTGGCAGCAGTGAGCCTCTCTCCTGACCCTCAGTTCAGGACGACTGCACGTACCACAGGCATTGCAGTATCTTGGGAGTCGCTCAGTTGCCGTGGTGGAGAGGGCAGGCCCGTGGGAAGGAGAGATACCTGGCTTGACCCTCTCTGGGACAAGGCACATCTACCCAGCAGCGGTTGGCAGGAGGGGGCCACAAGCATACATGGAGAGTGGCAGGGTGGGGGGCCCCAGGCACTCGTGAGGGTCTGCAAGTGTCCCAGAGTATCCCTGTGCCCAAACAGCAAATGAAAAATACTATACTGGAGAACTGGGAGGACAGGAAAAAGGTTCATATTTTGGTGGCTTTAAAGGCATTTTTTCCCTGCTTTTTGAACATGGAATCCTGCACAAGTCCCAGCAAATTTATGTAGCTGGCCCTAACCTGAAGTGAACTTCCATTCTCAGAAAAATGTAATGGCATTTGCAGTCACCTCTAATTATAGGGCTTGTCCTCATCACGGGGACCACGGGGTCTCCCTGTTGTACCAACCGAACAGAGATGGCGCCCGGGTACCGGTTGCTGCGTCGTCTGCTTCTGCAGCACAGATCCCCCTGGCTCCGGGCTCGAATTCTTCCGCATTCAATTGCTTTGAATGCAGCACAAATAAGCTTTTTCTAGCAGTTTGCCTCTTCTTATGGACTTTAATCTGTTTAAGTAAAGTTGGAAGGGAAAAGAGAGAATATATATTAATCCATCATTCCTAACTGGATTATTCATAATATATCACCAGTGTGCATAAAGCTACTAACAAAAATATCACAGGGAGAGGCTAAAGTTAGGTAGGATCTCCCCCAATTGTTTGTTTTTAATACAATTTTTGGTTTGGAATTATTTTAGATTCGCTGTAAAGTTGCAAAGATAGTACAGAGGGTACCCATCTACCCTTCCCCCAGCCCCCCCAGTGCCAGCATCCGTGTTAACAGTTATTGATGTTAATAACCAGGGTTCACTTGTCAAAACTGAGAGAGAAGTGTCAGTACCCAGCTACTAACTAAACTACAGGATTCAGGTTTGTCTGATGTTTTCTCGTGATTAGACCGGGGTTTGGGGTTCGGGGGAAGAGGCGCACAGGGTGGACGGGCCCCTCATTCCGCTCCTCATGTCGGGGGTACGAGATGCAAACGTGACTGACCCCTCCTGGGGTTACGCCCTTGGTGACGTGCCTGCCAGGCGTCCCCACTCCTAGGTGACCCTTCCTTTCCCACGTTCTGGTCTTTGGGAGCAAATCACGTTCATTTAAGTTGAGGCAGCTGAAGCTCTGCCTCCTGCAGGGGGGGGTTGACAAATACCATGTGGAATTCTGCTGTTGAAAATGTCCATTTTCTGGAGTTTATTTAAACATTCAATCATTGATTGATATCAGCAGGGCGTGAGGAGGTAAACTCGTGATCTTACCCAGATCTCATGTGAAAACCACCTTTTCCATGACAGAGCGAGCGTCTGTTGCTTTTGGGGGGTTATGGTTGTTACGACAAATGCTTCTAAGGTATTTCGACATCAGCAGCAGTCAGAGCAGCAGGGCGATGAGGATGCATGCTTATCTCCCTAATCTTACTTTTCCTAAAGAGAGGCATCCGACTCCTGTCTCACGAGGGGGAGGATTAAGGTGGAGAATTCGGGTCTTTCCACCCGCACACCTGTGGGCCCCGTGAGAGGGCACGGAAGCATCCTCTCCCGACACGCCTCACCGATCAAGACGCTCCTGGGGGGACAAACGCACAAATGTGGGTGTTCGCGGCTCTCTTCTCGCGCACACTGGGCTGCTCTCTCAGGACCTGCAGGTCATGAGGACGTTCCTCGTTCTCTTTGCCGTCTGCCTCTTCCTGGCGCCAGGTAAAACGGGCCCCTCGGTGGGGAAGCTTACTGGAGGTGGAGGCCCGGAGCGCGGGGCTGTATCAGCGAGCCCCCGGGCGCGGCCAGCCCGGGAGCGCAGTGGTGCCCTCGGCCCGGCAGCCCTGCAGGGGAACGTTTGCTCCAGGAGGTGACTTTCCTCTAATGCCTCTGCTGTAAATCCTGTGCACTGTTCGTTATTATCTAGGATGGAGTGTCACAGGTTGGGAGAAGTCAGGATATGCCAGGGAAGATGCCTTTTGGTCCCCAGTCTCATGCTCACTAACAAGAACAAAAATTTGAAACAAAAAATTAAAAGCAAGAGTAGCCAGCTATGGATCTTTTAAAAAAATAGCTGTGATAGAAATAAGACAGGTAAGGAAGAGGGACAGAGAAAGGGAGAGATGGAAGAGAGAAGGAATGGAGCGTGAAGACGCTGGGCACCATGCCAGTCGCGGCATGACTTAAAATAGTAAAGCTGAAGCTGCCATTCCTTAATCACAGGCTGCAGAGCTGGGTGCTGAGGCAAAAATGTCACATAATGAAACGCATTTAGTTCTCCAATGACAATGCCGTCTTTCCTACCTCTAATTTAGTGATATTCCGAGCAACTCTTTGGGCTTGGAAGGCCCATTTTACATGTATTTCACAGCTGCAGAGATTAAAGTTCAGCTGTGCTAAGCACTTCTCAGTCAAACAGACAAGCAAGTGGGAAGCCAGGACTTGAGGCTGACTCTGTCCCTCCACAGTGAGAGGAAGTGTCCTTCTCAGATCCGAGCTCCCATCTTTCTCTCCTGCTCCTGAGGACCCCCAGTGGCTCCATCTGGATCTTCCCCCAAATTATAGTCTAAGACTAGACTCATCCCAGTTTCCAAAAAGCTGAAGAGAGAGCTTTCCAGAACTGACAATGAGTCCAAGTTTGTGCAAGACTTAATGATCTCCCCAGTGTGATGCTCAGAATTTTCACACCAGCTGTGCATGTCTCTGGTCTGGTTTGCAACAACCCTGTGTGAGTAGATTATGCACCAAGTATATGGCGGTCCCCCCACAGGGGCCCCTCCCTCCACTGGCTTTGATCAGCACATTGGCAACGGACCAAGGCATCCTCTTCAGATCGCTCATCCTTGTTATACAGTTAGTCAACACAACACAAGATTGTATAATATAAAGTCATCTAACGTAACTAAATGAAGCTGACCTATCGATGGGCCGTCTCTGCACACACAGGCACACTCAGCGACGTTGTCCTCTAGATAACGGTGTCAGTCGGTGACTGCCCGCTGGAAGCCCTGCCGGCTGGGGTGCTCTTTCTCTTTCTGGGCCATCACTGTGGACTGGACCTAGTACAAGGACTCTCGCCAGAGTGAGGTCCAGTGCCTCCAGCCTGAGCTAGCCTTGCTGCGTTAGGAGGGCGGAGAGAACACCGATCCCTGTGGTGGGAGCCATGGCTCGCTGAGCTTTGGAATACTGGGTATTTAAACTTGCAAACCTATACGCCGATGCTGGGCACGATTATGCACATGCTGCCGCCGGTCCGCCTGCTCTACGTGTATGCGAATCGGGCATCTTCGTAGGTTGGCACTAGCTGCAGTTCGTGCGTATCTGACACGTCCATTGCACACACCTAAATCGCGCAGCCCTCAAGCGTTGCCTCTGGTAAGATGTGCTGTCTGTCTTTAAGTTGGAGCCAGCTGCTCGAGTGACGGCACTAAGGCCAGAACCAGCATTCTGTGCAGAACGACACAGCGGTGTCTTGGGAGCCGCTCCCCACACAGTCCCCATTCTTGCTCCCGAAGACATTTGATAGAACCTGGAGGGCAAATCAGACTGAGCCTTTTAAAGCAATCTCTTAACTCGTGTCCTCTCCAGGAACCTTTTTTCTTTCCTCATGTGTATTCTTTTTCACGCCAGAGGTGGGACGTCAACCCAGTCGCAGGTGTCCCCCTACAGTCACCAGATAGCCCTTGAGAGTGTGTCAGGGAAGCCACTGACTCTGGAGGTGTTTATAGGGACAAGTCGGTAATTATCCCCAAAGAACAATAGCTCCTGTTTCCCAAAGCCCCCACGCAGCCTAAGCCAGAACGCCGGCGGACAGACCTGTCCTTCCGGGCTTCCGTCCCACATGACAGAAAGGCAGAGCCATCACGCTGAAAGCACTGCCCACTGCCGTCTCACCTGCTGGCGGGACAAGGCCCTGCAATGGCTCGTAGAGAAGCCTTCACTGACTAGTGACATGACTGTGCCTGGTAACTAGGACGTATTTGAGAAGAGGATTAATCCAGATGTCTCCTTCCCTTGTGTAGCCAGGAATGGATTTTTTGATGAGAGATGCTACAGGCTTAAAGGGAGATGCGTTCGCTCTTGTCAGAAAAATGAAGAACTTGTTGGTCTCTGCCAGAAGTCTCAGCAGTGCTGTCTGACACTCCAGCCGTGCTGGGAAAGTTAAGAACTAGAGATCCCAGAGCAACACGGACGACCCAGACCATCTTGTTTTCACTCCAGCCTCCAGTAAGAAGACACTTCAATAAAGTAAATGACTATCTTTTATTCATTTGTCAAGTGCTTCACTTAGAAGGGGAACATGGGTAGCTAACCTTGATGGACCCAGACTCCTGGCTTATTTTTCTGAAATTTTTTCATAAAGGAATTGCTCCTAAACCTCCCAGTGTTTTTTTTAAAAACGGGACTAGAAATGATTATAACCAACAAACCGCTAGCTTGACCCAACCAACCTGTTGAGATAGACAGATGATGGACAGAGAAATGAATGTATATCTAGACAGACAGTTACACTGATGATGTGTGTTGAGATCATCTGTGTGTTAAGGACCACCGTGCATCATGTACCTGTCTATATAAATTAATCATCTCAACTCCCATGCCTTTAATCAGAGACAGTTAATTAAATACTTCCTATGAACTTGTCTCCCATTTGTTAAGTCTGAAATCAAATTTGCTGAAAGCAGAGGGATCATAAATATCTCTGTAACTGCCAGTAGATCCAGTGACCAGGATCCTGGTCCCAAATTGACTTTCTACTATTCTCCTGGGAACTGGCTAACTTCCAAATTACCTTCTGACTCTACGCACTCATGTTACCTAGTTCAGGTAAGGATTCCCTGTCGTGCTCCCTAGGCCTAAGATCCAGCCTTGGTTCCACGTGGGCTCAGCAATCTTGCCTTACCTCCTTTTTAATTGCTCAAGGTCAATATGCTTAATCCTATGGGAATCAGTGAAACTTTTTATGACATTTTTCTGGTTTGAAACAATTGTAGAGTCACATACAATTGTGACAAATAATACCAGGACATCTCCTATACCGTTCACCCAATTTCTCCCAATAGCAACACCTTGTAAAACTGTACTGCAGCATCACAACTGGGGTGCTGACCTGATACAGAATTATTCCCATGGCCGTAAAGACTGCCGTGTTGCCCTCCTAGGACACACCCTCTTCCCTCCAGCCTCCACCTCTTCCTTAACTCCTGGTACTACTAATTCATTCTCTGTTTTTACAATTTTTGTCCTTCTAGGAATGTCGTATCAATGGATTCACACAGTATGCAACTTTTGGGGACTGGCTTTCTTGGTTTTTTATTTGTTTGGGGGAGTAGTTAGATTTTTTAACGAGGGTACTGGGGATTGAACCTACAGCCTCATGCATGCTAAGCACGTGCTCTACCACTGGGCTATGCCCCTCCCTGGGGACTGGCTTTTCGCTCAGCATAATTCCCTAGAGAGTCTTCAGAGCTATTGCATGTGTCAGGAGTCCCCATTTTCATCTCTGAGTCATAGTCCATGGTATGGGTGCACTGCGGCTGCTTAACTATTCACCCTGCAAAGCACGTCTGAGTGGTTTCCTACTTGGTGCTATTGCAAATAACACTGTTATACACATTGATGTTCATAGGGTTTTGAGCAAACGTAAGTTTTCAATATTCTGAGATAAACTGCTGACTCTTACGGTAGTTGGGAGTGTAGTTTTTATAAGAGAACGCTGAACTGTCATCCAGAGTGGCTGCCGTTCTACAGTCCCAGCGGCAATGCAAGAGAAGTCTAGCTTTTCCACATTCTAGCCAGCCTTGGCCAAAAATAGCTGTCCCCATTTTTTTTTATTTCTTCTATTCTGGTAACTGTGTATTGACAGCTCATTGTGATATTAAGTTGCACTTCTCTGAACATTAATAATATTTAACACCGGTCCATGTACTTATTTCTCATCTCTGTCTCTCCTTCGGAGAAATATCTGTCATGTAATCATTTTCTAATTGGATCTTTTTGTTTGTTTTTACTGTCAAGTTTCGAGAGTCCTTGGCATACTCTTGATATTAGTTATCTGTTGGATATATGGTTTTCAGGTTTTTTTCCCAGTTCACAGCTTGTGTTTCCAACCTCGTAATAGCACCTTTTGCAGAGCAAATTTGTCAAGTTTTGTGAGGTCTGACATATTTCCTTTTTAGGGATCATGGTTTTTGATCAAGTCTAAGAACGTTTCGTGTTGCCTGAGATATGGAAGATTTTCTCCTATATTCTTTTCTAAAAGTTTTGTAGTTTCAAATTTACATTTAAATCCATGAACCATTTAGAGTTAATGTCTCTCAAAGCTGTGCAGTGGTCCAGGGCCTTTCTTCCCCACCCGTGGATGTTCAGTTGCTCTGGCACATTTGTCCAAAAGTCTGTTTTTTCTCCATTAAGTTATTTTCGCATCTTTCTCAAACATCAACGTGTAGGATTTTACTCAGTTGTTTTGAAAACTTAAATCCATACAAACTCCTGTCCTAAATGTGAGTGGCAGCTTTATTCCTATCACCCCAAACTGGAAGCAGCCAAGATATCCATCAACAAACTGTGAGTCATCCATATAATGAAACACTATTCAGGGATAAAAAGCAATGAGCCATCAAACCTCAAAAAGATATATGTGAATCTTCAATGCACATTGCTCCATGAAAGAAGCCAGTCTGAAAAGGTTACAGACTGCATGGCTTCAACTACATGGCATCCTGGGAAAGGAAGAACTGTAGGGACAGTAGAAAGGTCACGGGTTGCCAGGGTTTCCTGGGGGAAGAACAGGGAGTGGGTTTGGGCAGTGAAACCATCCTGTATGATACTAGGCCCTTGTTAAAACTCTTAGGACTCTGCAGCACAGAGATTGAACTCGGGTTCACTATGCCAATGAAAAGAAATAATTTAGAAGAGTCAGGGCTGCCCCAGGCTGGAATGCAGAGTGTGACGGAACAGGCCAGCTGCATCGTAAATGTATGAAACAGCTTCACTGAAGGCACTGGGCTGGAGGTGGGGGTGCTGACCAAGTCACTTTGCAAAGCAGCGCCATCTCTAAGTCTGAAGGTGAAACAGCCTGTTAGAAGCATCGCAGTCCAGTCAACGGCGTCGTTTCTTATGAGATACAAGGTAGAGATTCAGATCCTGCTACACACATACACTGGCACTGAACAGTCGAGCAAATGGCTGGGAGATGGTGGGAGCCTGCTTTCTTACTGCTGGAGTGGGGGTTACGGATAAGCAGGAAGAGCTACCCTTGTGGGGATGGATGAGAACTGGGGACATCAGCGTGAACTCATGTTTCGCTTGGGGTCGGTACAGATGGCGTCTGTTACAGGTCATTAGACAAACACGCATTTCCTGGCTCTGTCGGCAGGGAGGGCCAGAAGCAATGGTGCTCCAGGAGCTGCGAGCACACCTGGGACCCTGATGCAGCTTCTCCACGTCATTCTCCAGTAAAAGGGGCCGAGGACCCTTGGAGAGATGGCGATTTCTAGGGCTGGAGCAGGAAACACACATGATAAACTCAGAGCAGCTTGAAATGCCAGCACATAATGGAGTGCTCAAAGCGAAACAGAGAGACGAAAAATGGCAGGAGTGTGCCACAGGGACGCAGAAACCAGCTGAAAGGCCTCTAGTGGCCAACCTGGATCCATGCGAGTGAAATAAAGAAGTAAATACACAAATAAATAGTGCTGGATTACAACCCAGAGTGTAATATGAATGTCCATGACCATGACTCCACACTGACGTCAATAAAAGACTGAACAAGCAAACACACGGGGGAGAAGAGACAGCGCCCCTGATTCCGAATGACTGGCGTAGGTGCTTTGCCCCAGAGAAGCGGGCATACTTCCCCACTCCTTAAGCGTGGGCTGTGCACACGGCTTCCTCCCAAGGAGTACAGGATGTAAAGGGAGGGGAAAGAGTGAACTTACAGGGCAGAGGCCTCAGCCAGGTGACCAGGGTCGACGTCGACCGTGGTAAGTCATGTCGATAGGACACACCCTTCACATATGACAAGAGTGGCCTTTACTCTGTGACCTTCCTCCCCAAAACATCTAATCCCACTCCAGTCACGAGAAAAATGTCAGACAAATCCCAGCCGAGGGATGGTCACACCTGACCGGTACTCCTCAAAACCGTCAAGGGGATTCGTGGAAAAATAAGGCAAGTCTGAGGAACCATCACAGCCCAGAGGGACCTGAGGGGACGTGACGATGAAAGAAAATGTGGTGTCCCAGGCGGATCCTGGGACAGAAAGAGCACATGGGGTGAAAACTAAGGACATTAAGCGAAGGAGGGCTTTAATGGGTAACGACGCATCGGTCACTAGCTGCCATGCAGATGCACCGCGTGTTACCGTCGGGGCCTGGGCGCGGGGTGTGTGAGAGCCCTCAGTGCTGTCTTCACACGTTCCCTGATGTCTCTTAACATCTCTACCAGGTGATTCTCACATCTCTGTCATTTTGGGGTTGGCATCTGTTGGCTGTGTTTTTCCGTCCGGTTTGACATCTCTCTGCCTCTTGGTGGATGAGTTATTTTTAGTCGGAACTTGGACGTTTTGCTTGTGGTGCCATGAGACTCTGGATCTGATAGGAGCCTCCTGTCCCGCCGGGCAGGCCCTGAAGTCGGAGTGCAGCTGCCACGTGGCACAGACGTCCAGCTTCACGCCCCCGGAGGCCCCTCCGCTGCTGCCCTGCGGGGTGAGGGCGGGCGGGGTGCCCTCCCGTTACTGCAGTGGGTGGGGTTCCCGCTTCCTCCGCTGATAGAAGCCCCGAGGCTCTCCATCCAAGATCACCAGGGCAGGTGGGGAGAGCCCGGGGTCCCACACCTGGCTGCTCCGGCTCGTCGGCCGTGAGGGGACAGAGCCCGGCTGAGGGCGCTGCTGCCAGTCGGGAAGTAAGGCCCAGCGCCCGGCCACATCTGCTGACGAGGGCGTCTTCTGAGGGGCAGCCTCGGCGCGGGGGGCCCCCGTCTGCACTGCAGTCCGAGGCTTTTCCAACCACCCCCACCTTCTCACCCGTGTCAGGCCCACAGTGTGGTCCAAGACTCTCCCTGCCGACCCTGGCTCCTCTCCGCCTGGCGCCTCCCTAGACACGGCCTGCAGTGCCCGCCTCTCTGCCTTTGATAGCTGCTCCCTGGGGGTACCTGCTGTCCCCACCCCACAGGCCTTCTTCCAGGAGTGGGCTGCGTCTCTCCCACCTCCCACACCCCTCGTCTCTTTCACGTCGTGTGCTGTTTGTTTCAGCGCGGTTCTGGGCATGGTGGACTCGGACCCCACGGGCCCATGTCGCCATTGCAGCAGGAAGCTCCGGACTGAAGTCTACCTGGGGCAAGTTAATGCCAGCTGAACAGGAACAGAACTGAAAGTCCCTTCCTCTGAGTCAGGACTATCTCTGAGACTATCTAGTCCACTTCTTACTTCAGGTGGGGAAACAAATGAAGCGACTTGCACCAGCTTCCAAACAGCTCCTCATAAAGGATCCTTGCCATATGACAGTCCCCCTCCCCCTGCCCCCCAGGCCCTGTCTCCAGGCCACTCCGGATGCCCCTAGCGCCTCCCCTCGTGCTGTCCCCGGGGGAGGGATCGCCAGTGAGCACGGCTTTTGATGAGCTTGGCCATCAGCGCCGCACTCCGCCCATGGAAAGAGCCGCTCCCTCCTGCCTCCTGGTAATTCCTGCAGGCTTGCTCTGTGTCTCCAGCAACCCTTGCACCATGAGGATCCTCATCCTGCTCTTAACCACTTTTCTTCTGCTCCACCAAGTTCCTCCAGGTAAAGAGACTCTCCGCTGGAAAGACGTGCACTTGCAGAGGGCAGAAGGTGGAGGAAAAACCTGACTTAGAATAAACGTCCTGTGGCGCTCTGCAGCCTTTAATCCCTGCCCTGACTGAGGCCATGAGTAGAACGCAGTGCAAGGCAGCCCTCACACACACCTCCTGGCCGCAGGGAGGCATCACCGCTCGAAAGCACAGGGCCTTAGCCGCCCCTGGGGGATTCACTAGCCATTGTCACTGCACTGCAGGACGGCTGCCCTTATTCATTGTTGATTTTGCAGTAAGAGATTTCTTCTCCCCTTTCCATGGTGACACCCACCTGCCTCCTGAAAAGCTTTAGTCTGCCCAGAAGTTGACTCTGTCACCCTCCTGAATTTTACACCTTTTCATATCAAGTCAGAGGATTAGGATTAAAAGGAATGCAGTGATTCCTCTTAATACAAAAGGAGCAGGGTGGGGAGGGCGTAGCTCAGTGGTAGAGCACATGCTTAGCATGCATGATGTCCTGGGTTCAATCCCCAGCACCCGCATCGTGTGTCTGTCCCACCACCACTCCCCAGCATTCTCCAGTCAGCTCCAGTCATTCCCCCGGGAAAAACCTCTCCGCCCTGGTGCAGCTAATCACACTGACTTGTTCTGTTATTTAGTGAGCAGTGACCTGGACACAGGCAGGATATGTGGCTATGGGACTTCTCGCTGCCGGACGCATTGTAAAAGTGACGAGTTCAGAATTGGAAGATGCCTCAACACCTACGCGTGCTGTTTGAAAAAGTGGAGCGTCAACAAATTGAATCCTATGAAAGACAGAAACCCAGTGGTGCCTGGTTCCTAGAGTCGCCAACGGCTGGCCCTCTGAGCTGTCCGTCCTCGGGGCCTTACAGCCAGAAGGCCCGCAGTGGAGCCACTAATCCAGTTACAAGGTGAGGACGTGCTGAGAGCTTTCACTCAGTGCTGAGCCGACGCGGGAGAATCAGCGGAACCCAGGGCCTCGGCCTGGTGTCGGTTATGTGTGAGTTTCAATACTTTAAAAGATGAACCAAAAAAAAACAACCATATCCGTTCAGCCACAAGCCTAAGTGAACATGATTTTTTCTTTGCCTGAATTATGTCAATTCACCTTGGTAACTTTGGTTTTGTTTTCTGATCAGAAGTTCTGCTTAACAGTAATATACTTCTTTTGTCGATTAAAATGGAAAATGAATCAATATTAAGTGCAATGTGCTTGACATACCCCGTACTTCAAAACATAGACGCCCCGCGGAGAAAAAACAAAAGAGGTGATGGGGGAAGGCTTGACCCAAGCGGACGTCTGTGGCGGGTCACATCCAGCAGGTGGCAGCAGAGAGCGGCTCTGCCACTGGGCCGCGTTGGGTGGACGTGTCCAGACTCCTGATCCTGAAAAGCGGCAAAGTAAGGGGAGCGGTAAAACACTAGACCTGGCCTTCCTGCCCGAACTGTGCTTCAGGGGAACCAAATGGTGCACGAGCGAATGCTTCTCTCCACGAGAGCCGTGCAGCCCGTAAACGGAGGGGGAGCGGCAGGATGAGAATATCATTGCTCTGCAAACACCAGGGGAGAGGATGACCCAGCCGGTGAAGGTCAGTGGCCACTAAGGTGGACAAGAACAGCCACCGGGCACGAGTGCCTCCCAGGAGAGGCCCTCAGTGCCACCTGCGAGCTGTTAGGCTGGACAGTGCCCTTTTGCCCAAAAGAGTAATGTGAACCTTCATGCAGCCAGGACCCCGCTTCTGCATGAGGTTGACCTTGTTTCATCCCTTGATAAGCCCCCCCCTGCCCCCGGTTATTTCCAAGAACACTCACGATGCCCTGTCACTTCATGGGGAAATACTTTGAAATGTGTAACTCAAAAGAAAGAACAATTGTTTTTTTTTTTAATGCAACTGTTAGATAGTGGGAGCGCCGGGCAGACAGGTGGAGGGGAGGGAGGATGGTCCGGAAGATGGCGTTGTGCCCCCTCCAGCAAAAAGGGACTTTACTTCTAAACGATGTCAGCAAGAAACCGGGTAGCACCCGACAGCCACGACCGCATGGCAGCAGAAAGGACTTCACCAGACGCAGCCCCGTGCTCACTGTGTTACACCTCACGTTGCAGTTCAGCCCCCCTCGTGGGTGTTCTGTGTGCGTCCTGGGCAAGGACATGCACACAGGGGCCAAACGTGACTAAGCACTCCAGGGGCGAGAGCTGCCAATCAAGCAAGAGCCCACCTCTAAACTAGGATGTAGGAGATGGGAGAGGACACTGCCGCTGAATCAGCCCGCCTCCCGTTCCTGGAGGTGGCTTTTCCTTTTTTAAATAAGTCGTTTAAAATCCTTCTGCTACACGGTACTTTCCAGCTCCCGTCTGTAAACCTTATCTTTTGGGTAAGACAAGAACTGGGGTCTTCACCTCTGGGGTAACCTAACCACAGCGCTATTACCATACTTGGAAGAATTTGGCACTGACTCTTTAACACCATGTAACAGCCAATCAGAGCCCAAGTGACTCTGGTTGTTCCACAGGTCAGGGTGGGTGTCTCACAGTGGGGACCCTGAGCCTCCAAACTCCTCGTCTGGATGCTATTGGCTGCTTACTATTCCACCTGCAAGGCGCTGTGCCGGAAATCAGCACCCGGCCACCCTTCGCCTCTACCAGAGGCCCCAGGGTCCTCTCAAATTGGAAAATTTCCTAATGCCTGAAAACAAAAGGCTGTGAACGATCTTATGCTACCCCTGAGCAGCAGTGCCGCGCTCCCCGAGGCAGAAGCCGTCCCAGCTCCTCCATCGGTGATTGCTGCGGTGTGATGCTGGGCACCTCCCCGAGCCTCTGCTCGTGGCTCCAGGCCTCCTCTCCTCCTCGGTTGCTGCTTCCCTGGACGCCAAGTTTCTGTTGTACCTGCTCCACTTTCTCCATCCGCCCTCCCCTTTCTCCAGGTAGAACAGACCTACGTTCAGCTATGACATTTTCTGTGGGCCAGAATGTGCACGCAAATAGAGGCACTTGGGATAAACGCTTTTCCCAGAGACACTGACGTAAGGCTGGGTGTCACGTAGTTATAAAGCTCTTGAGCCGAAGCCTAGGCTTCTCCCGTTGAGTCCAGGACAGGCTGCCTGGGTTGAGCAAGCCTTGTGCAGCAAAAGGAAACCTCACACTGCCAAGAAGAGGATGAAGGGGAGGGGAGGAAGCGCCTTTTGCGTAATTATCACTAGAAGAGAAAACCCAGACTCCTTTACAGAACTTATTTTCAAAGCAGAATTGATTCGGACCCGATGGCGTCAGTAGTCAGGCATCCGGGGGGCAGGGGAACGAGGAGACTAGAGGGTGGGGGAGAAAAGTGAAGAAGAGCCTGGTAGGTTACACTCGAAGGGCAGCGAGAGAAGGGCTGGCAGCCTGGGGGGGAGAACGGGAAGGACAATTTGGAGTTGCTTTGGCGCTGCCTCTGTCCCTCTCCAGCCTCAGGGAGCGGCCGTTTGGAAGACAGGGTGGAAGCGCTGTGGCAGCTGCAGTCATGTCGCCGGATGAAGGAAGAGCAGTGCTGTAGCCAGAAGCTCCTGAAATTGGTGGCCTTCTGCCCCCTCTCTCCTCCTCTGCTTCCCCTCCCTTCCCTCGTCCTTTCTCACTCAGCGAACCCACCCGAGGCATTCAGGCATGTCATGCGCTTCCTGAGAGAAGTGGCCCGTGTGTCACTGTGGGACGCAGCCCTTCCCCGCTGCAGGCCCCCCCGCCAGCCCGGCTATAAAGGAGCCCTGCCCGCCCGCCCGCCCGCCTGGCCTGGCTGCTGTCCCCTGGGTGACATGAAGCAGTTCCTCCCTCCGGTCACCCTTCTGCTTGGGGTCCTGCTGTTTCTAGGTAAGCGCCGTGGTCATTTCCGGGCTGGGGTCCAGGCTGGGAACGCAGCCCTGGGAGCCCGTTTCCCGGGGGGTTTCAGGCAGGGGTCTCGGCCAAGGTTTGTGAACGACACTGACTGCGGGTGGCATGGCCTCCCGAACCTGATTCCATTTTCTTATCCCTCCAGTACCCCCTCCCCTGACGGAGAAGGGCAGGATGTGTCAGGAAGCACCTTACGTTTCAGGGAGTCTCAACAGCTACATTGGTGATGCCCCCGGGGGTGCTCAGCTTGGCTTCCTCGGGGCCGTCAGGCTCCACTACCCCCTCTTCCCACACCTTTCCCTCTATGCCTGTCACACACACGCACGCGCACACACAGACGCAAGTAACATCTGTCCCCCTTCCGACCCGCCCCATCCGTCCGCCACTCTTTCTTTACAGCTCTATTGAGGTAAAATGACTCACAGTGCGCTACCCTGACTTAATGTGCACAATTTTCATGAGCTGGGACATAAGAAAATACCTGTGGTTCCATCACCACAGCTAGCGGGGTGGACACCCCAGCACGTCCCCAGGCGCCCATGTTTGTTTGTGCTGCTGTTCTTCTGTGAAAAGAACACTTAGCGTGAGGGCTCCCCTCCCAGCAAGTTCAGCAGCACACAACGCTGTGTTGTTGTCTAGAGGCCAACGCTGGATGCAAGGTCTGGGACGTCTCCGTCCTGTGTGACTGGAGCTTTATACCCACTGGGCGACAACCCCGTCCCCCCGCTGTCTCCACTGTCACTCGTCCTGTGAGTACCTCATCCTCATGGGTCTGCGGGTGGAGAGCCTTGAACGTCCTCTGCTGTGCTGACTCTTGAACAGGATTATCCAGGGTCACCCATGCTACCCACCGAGGCACGGAGGGTCCCCGAGAACCCAGGGAAGAGGCCCCTGGACAAGGAGCAAACGGGTCTCACCAGCTTCACCACCACGTAAAACGCTACCTCCTACCACGCACGCCCCCTTTCCAGGGTGAGTAGCAAAGCCCATGGCAGGGTCATCGACTCGGGGGCGTTTAGTGGAAGAACAGATCCCGGGAAGGTGTGCAGATGGGGGTGAGAGTGGCGGGATGTGTGGGTGGCTTACGCTGTCCTGCCTGTTGGAAAGGCCACGGGGGTCTGACAGCGGGACCCCTGAAGGCCTTGTAAAACGTGGGAGCATTGAAAGGATCAGAGCAGAGGTGTCCAAGGCCACTTCTCTGACTTCCCCCAAAGCCGGTAGCCAGAGGAGAAGGTCCTGGGTCAGAATGTCCTCCCCGGGGCGTGTGGGAAGCCCGCTCCCTTGGCCTCGGGGTTGACTCACTCTGTGGGATGTACTGAGCACTTGCTAAGTGCCAGGTGGAAAGAGAGTGCTCAGGGAAGGCCTCCTGGGAGGGGGCAGAGGACGCCAGGCTGTCAGGATGGGGACTAGCCGTCAGTAACTATTCTGAGTGGATCAGACTAAGCCAGGCAGCGGGCAAACATTATCGAGGAGGAGTTTTGAATTCCAACAAGAAAGGGACTCTTAACACTGATTGCTCTGCGTCTTTGGCCGGGATGCCTAGGAAGACATGAAAGTTCTCAGCAGTGTTGAGATGATCCTGGGTTCAGGGTTCACCTGCCAGCAATGCCATTTCAGACCCTGTGTTGCGGCTTAACTAGACGGATAACAGTTCTGGGGAGGTGAATCTCTGGGGAGAAGCAGAGCTCTGTATCTGGAGTTGGTTTTATAGCTTTGAACTTGAAACTATGAACTGTAATATACTATATATATATTATTTAAAATAACCAAAGGTAGAGAAATAGACAGCAGAATGATGTTTGCAGAGGATGGGGGTAGAGAAATAAACGGAGTTGTTGTTCAACAGGAGTAAGTTTTGGTTATGCTGGATGGATGCATTCTAGCCGTAGGGTGCACAACACAGCGCCTTTAAAAAGTTGTTAAGAGGGTGGATCTTATGCTTTTACTACGAGAAAAACAAAAGCAAAGCAAAACAAAAACAAAGGGACACAAGGCAATTTTGGGAGGTGATACATACGTTCATCACCTTGATTGGGGGGATGGTATTATGGGAGTGGGCATATGTCCAAACTCATCACATTTCATACGTTCCATATGTACAGGTTTTTATAGATTAAAAAAAGACTACTGATCTGAAAAGTGAAGTGATAAGAAAGTAATTTTAATGGCTTGACCAGTTGATTCACTGATCTAGCCAGATGATTGTAACGTGTACTGATTGAAAGGGACCAGGACCGGAAGAGGGTAACATGTCTTCACACTTAATTTGTCTGAAGGTCAAATGTGAAGCCGGGGGCAGAGCCTGAGGTGGCGGGCGCCGCTGGCGTGCAGCCGTCCTCCCCGCACGCAGTGCGGGCCGATTCTCTGATGCTGGGCCTCTGCTTTCGTGGTGCTCATCAGCTTTTGCTTTTTTCTACACACGCTCCTTGCCTTCTTCCACCAGTTGTCGTCAGTGAAAATTTGATGTTTGATAACCTCGGTACTTGCACTCTGGGGTGACATACCGGTTTCACGTGACTCAAGTAACCTGACACTTGTTTAAGGCATCGGCTTGCCCCCAGCGCTCCCTCATTGAGGGGGGAGAAGATAAGTCTTTCAGTTCTTCAAACTCTACCCTCTGCTACCTCTGTTCACCTGGCCCCACCTAGATGTCTCACCTCCCTTTCAGGGATGGTCCTCTCCCCCAGGGACCATCGCGTCTCAGTCCCTGCTCAGTCGGGCCGCCTCACTCCACGGTTTGCCTCAGAGAGGCCTCATTTGTGCCTTTACACAACATGCTAAATTATTTAAAGTAAAACATTTGTATCACAACACACCCCTCGCTTTCTCTTCCCAGCTGCCTCTGAATTGACAGTTCATTGTGCAGGGGGAGTGAAGGTGACCTTTCAGCCAGAATCCAGGATCTGAGTTTGCTGCTATCAGAATGGTTGCATGAAATATGACAGACGTGCAGAGGAACTCTGGTTCCTATCCGTCGCCGCCCCCCCCCGCCCCGCTCTGGGCTGGGGTCACAGTGTCCGGTTCTTGAGACGGTCTGAGGAGCCTGACGCTGGGTATTTCTTTATCCAGAGCCTGAACCAGATTTCAAAGTTGTCAACTGCAAGAAAAGCGAAGGCAAGTGTCAAAAATACTGTAATTACATGGAACTACAACTAGGCTACTGCTTCAAGACCAAAGACGCCTGCTGTTTACCTCAGAACTGAGGTTGTTGACACAGAAGACAAAGCTTGTCCACTGCCTCCCCCGGCCGTCAGTGCAGAAGCAGGTGTCTGGAGAAGGGACTGGGGAGGCCCTGAGCTTTGTTGTCTGTGCCAGCCATCTGAACATCTTACTGCAGCAGAAGGAAAGATGAAAACTGGCTACATGTGGTCTTACGGATGCGACCTTAGAGAAAGTGCCTTAGCTTGAGATGTGCAATATCTTCCAAATCACACAATTTTTGCTGATAAATGTGGGTGTAATAAACTTTCATAGGAACGCATGCAAGTAATTCGTTCTTTTATTTTAAAAGTACTTTTTGAGTACCTCCTTTTGGTCTAGGCACTGAGAAATGCAATGAATTGGAAACATTACATGAAGGTAATGAATTGGAAACATGAATATGGAGAGGAAACCATCTCAATAAGTAAAAAAACAACAAAATGCTACATATTCTACAATGTGGCTACATGTGGGGAAGATAAATATAAGAGAATTAAGAAAGGATTCCTGGGGAAATTTGAGCAGGATTTTGGAGGATGACTAGGAGTTTGTTAAGGGAAAAAGAGAAGAAGAGATATTCAGGCAAAGGGTATAGTTTGTAGGAAGTCATGGAGACACGAAAGAACGATTTGCTAAGAAAATGGGCAGAAGCTCAGAACCTCAAGAGAGGGACTAATGACAAGTATCAGATGAGGAGGGCGCAGGAAAATGGGGTGAAATTCTCAAAGAAAATAAATACTGTACTAAAGACCTTGGACTGCTAAGCAAGGGAGGGCGACCAGGTGCGCCAAGGGAGTGAACGTAATCATATTTCAATTTTAGAATGTTCCTCTGACAGGGGAGTTGGGGATGGACCGGGACTGCGTGAGACTGGAGGCAGGAAGGTTACGTTTAGTTTCGTCTCTCCTGCGTCTTTCAAGTGCGGATTCCCCTGAAACTTCCAGTGAGTTTGGACCGACTTCTAACCCCTCATTTCCCAAGTAGACCAGCTGTGGCGGTCTTGGCGGGTAAACCTACGGGAAGGAGTGGTTATATTCTATGCACAAAACAAATCTGTTGTTTACCTTGGGGTTTTGCGTCGAGCATCTCTGCTCAAAAGAAGATTCAAAGACAGCTTGACAGATCAGTAAAGAAACAGCGGGATTTGCATAAACTTGCTATAAACTGTAAGTGGTGACTAGTTTTAGGCTGGAGTTAATTATTAGCGAGCTGACTCATATCAGGAAAGTCTGAGTCCCTCGTTCTTTCTACATCTTTATTTAGTTCTTATGAGTTAAGAATCCTTTCTGATAATGTCATGTTTGAGTATCTGGGTTGCAGTCCAGCCTCCAGAGCTCACAGTGACCAAACCAGGGGTGCAGACCTCTTTCCAGGACGCTGCCTTTCCGGCTTTCTTTCTGAAGAAATGTGTTCCAGACCTAATTCACACTCGGGCACACTCCCGAGGCTGACACTTAGAATGGTGAAGCCAAGATCAAATCAGTACTTACAGACAAAACCAGACGCATGGCCATTTTATATAACCTCTTTGTGAAGAGGCTTTTAAAATAAGTTTGCAAGACACAGAATACTTGTACTTGCTGACTCATCCTGCGTCTCAGCAACTGCTCTTCAGTGGATGTATAGTCACAGCAGCACACGCTGAGCAAGTCCTGCACGTCTGCGGTACAGCCTTGCGCCTAGTTCAGAATCCTGTCATGTGCATCTAAAACTTTCTTCAGCGGGTAAATCTCATGTTAAGTTGTCTTACCTTTTTTTAATTAAAAAAAATCGTCCTTAAGAAATCACAAAAATATTTTGAGAAACTTTGAAAAAAATCTAAATGTTCAAAATAAAGCGAATTGCTTAATAAACTAAGGTACATCTACTTAAAGGACTATTCCATATAAACATAAAAGTAAAAAACCCATAAAAACTCATAATATTAAAGTTTTAAGATAATTTTCTGTCTTAGAAATTATGGGATACAATTTTATATATTTTAAGTAAAATTATGAAAAATACATTCAAAACAAAAAAAAGTGATTTTAGTTTCCAACATTAAGATTGTTGGTGATTTTTAATTATTTTGTCTTTAAAAATACCCTGTCAAGTTATTGTATTACTCTTCAACTTTAAATATACACTTAAGAAGACAAAACTGACTGCCTAAGGATAAATACGTATGTAGACATAAGTTGCCTTAAGTCAATTTTAACCTAAGAAATAACATTAAGCTTATGAAACATTAAAACATGTAACCCAGAGAGATGTTGGAAACTACATTGGGGATTCATAAAAAACAGGTAAAAGCTTGATTTTTTCTACCACTCTGTGGTCATTTTTGCAGTCAGCCTGGAGACAAGGGGGGTGTCATGGCTTCTCGGGGTCAGCTGTGAACCAGCAGCTCTGTCAGTCACACTGTGCTGTTCTTGTCACGGAAGCCTGCCGAGGCTTTATGGACACCCGCTGTGCCCCTGCTGGGAAGGACCCTTCAGGCCGCGGGTCATCGCAGAGCCAGGTGTAACACCTGGCTGCCTTGCAGTCCACCCTCTTCGCCCACCATCCACACGCAGAGTCCTGCCCGCCCACTGCGCTCCGAGAAGCCTTCCGGGGGCTTTGACCCCTTGGCTCATCCATCCCCCGGACTCCCCTGCCATCGGGAAGTCTATCTCCTCCTCGGTGCCCGAGATCTGCTGGGGCGGGGCCGGGCTGGACGGGCTCAGTCGTGTCCCCATCTGGCCTCCTGGGATTAATAATGGCCACACCACATCTCCTCTCCTGCCCACGCCTGGTGGTCACCACGGCTCTGCAGGCTAGGCCTACCCCTCAGCCAGCTTACCCTTATCTCTTGGGTCGAAGAAAACGACCTTACTGGACCCAGGGAATCCTTTAGTAATAAGAAAAAAAATTAATATTATAATATCCCAAAGAAGGGAAACTGAGTTCATTAACACAGTCTCTTTCTTGATGGGTCAGAAAAATTCCCTGGAGTCAGATGAGTAACGTCAGCTTTGCCTGTGAGGACCACGGGGACGGGAATGAGCCTGGCTGCGGGGAACGCCGCCAAGCCCCGCCGTGGGGCAGGGCGGCTTCCCTCGGGGGAGATGGCTCCGCTAGGCCCACGGGCATCGCTGGGCACTTGCGAAGCCTGTGGCCAGTCCTCTTGCTTTCAGGAAGGCCTCAGAGTATCTGTTCTCTCTTCCATCTTCTGTGTCGGAGCTTTAGTTCCTTTCAACCCTGTGATTATACAAACCTGTCAACCTCTGACCAGATTAATGAGCTCATGCAATGAGCTTGCTTTTCTAGTCGGTCTTCCTTCGGAGCGGCATGCCTGATTCTCCAGACTCTTTATGAAATTCTTCCTCAGTTGGCTGCCTTCCAGGTCTGTGCCTTGGACGTAGATTCTCGTCTTGAGGAAAAGGTGGGTGAGAAATCCTCAGACTATCAAATTTATTCTCCCCCAAATGAGCCGATTTTCCAACGTAGTTCATAAAATTTCCAAACTACACAGAAAACAATCTCAAAACTATACTTTTGCAACTATTTGGGCTTTACTGCCAGAAAAAATACACCATCCACCTTTACCTTAAACCTTTTCTAAGTCAGGCCAGTGTGAATAGCAAGAATGACACAGAGGATACAACACACCCTTTCCTGTTTCATCTACTGAGGTGACTTTGAAAAAAATGACCACATACTCGGGTGTGTACCTTCTAGACTTTTCTATTAAGTAACTCTTGTGTCTTGTGGCTGTACTTTCTCCATCCACGTAAGTGCATTCAGAATTATAATTACTCAGTGGAACCCTTGAACTTTTCGGCTATGGTTTTGTTTGTTTGTTTGTTTGTTTGCCATGGAAGCCAGTTTTCTAGAAAGTCAAATCAGACTGCTTACACCTTTTTTACAATCGGTGATTTCAGAGGTGTATTCAGAACAAATGGTCCACAGAAAAAGAAATTCACATTTTAAGATTCATTGTTTACTGTTTTGAGTCTGACATACACACTCACCTTAGTATCTGTTTTGTAATTACTCAGTGCACCGTGGACCTTTTTGTTGGCAGAGAAAGGTGAAGTTCCTGAGTAATTTCCCCTCAAGTCTTACTCTCATAGGCGTTCTCACAGGGTACGGGAAGGCCAGGGGATGAGGCTAGCTCTGGTAAGGACCCACTGCCTCTGCTTAATCTTCCTAGACCTGGAATCTGCAGAATGAATGTCTGGTCCCCCCCCCTTCTGGTGCCCGCACTGCTCACCTGTGTCTGTGTCCTTGCTCACCTCCAGAAATGTGGGGCTGCCACCTGACATGTCCTTGTCAAAATCCATTTTCTAGTTAAGACTCGGGGTCAAATACGTTTGTTTCAAACTGGTTACATGAGGCAGGAGACTACCTCGAAGGGCTCTTGTAGCTGTTTTGCAGCTGTTATGAAGAATAAAAAAGCTCTTCATGCACCTATTTAAGAAATCTCCAAGATACATCATATGAAAAAAAAGTCTAGAATAAGATGTATGGACTGTTAGTATTTGTACAAAAAGGGGAGTTGAGATTCATACATGCTTAGGTATACCCAAAATACTTGTTGAAGGATTGGTAAGAAACTGGTCAGAGCTGTCATGAAGGCTTGGGAGACAGGGTGGAAAAAGGACTTGCTTTTAACTTCTTAGTGAGTGAATTGCAAGGGAAATAAATCTAAGTGATGCGGGGACTAAAATCAAATGGGAGGCAAAATGTGTAGCTGCATCAGCTGGGCATTGGAGCACCACTGCTGTTAAACCTTCATGGAAAGCTGTCTTTCCAGACCCAACTCTAATGCCATCCTACCTACGAAGACTTGCCTGCGTCCCCCACTTGGGGGGGGGCATCTGGACTGCAGCGCCCTGCAGAGCTCCACCAGCACCCACCAGCCCAGCCCTCACGTCCAGACTCCCTTGACTCCCCCTAGACCGCCACCAACTCAACCAAGAAAACTTTGTCGCATGAGAGAAGAGTCTCCCCCCGTCCCCCAAGCAGACCACTTGCTGACTTTTAATACGTGGATTAGATTTGCCAGATTTAAAGCCTAATACCGCATGCCGTGTCTGGCTTTTTTTTTCCATTCAGAGTGTCTGTGGGGAGCATCCACGTTATGGGTGCTTGTAGTTGCTGTTTTATCTGCACTGCTGTGAGGGACGCGCCGCGTATTCTACCGCTGGGGTGGGATGCACCGTCTGGGTGGGTTGTGTCGACAGCTGTAAGGAATGGTGACCACTCGTGTACCTCCGGTGGTGCACTCAGACCTGCATCCTTTGGGTGCCCCCTGCGGTGGACACTGCCCGGCTGGAAGCCACTTGATGGCAGGGAACACGTCTCTGCACGTCTCTATCCCTGTCACCCAGTAACCGCGTCACCCCTGCTCGTTCTCTTCCTCTGCAACCTCGGTGTACCAAGTCATCGGTCCAACCTTGCTTCTCTGAACACCAAGGAGCCTGTCTATTTTTAGGACGAAAGGAAGAGTATCCAGTGCCTTCTGCCCACAGCCTGACTCAGCAGACCAGATAAATGCGGTCATTTCTGATCAGTGTTCCCGAAAACCTATAAATGTCCCCTTTCTGTGCCCTCTTCTCTCCGCTCCACTTGGCTCTTTCATCGGATTTGCTTTCCTACACAGGAGGGCGGGCAGATCCGAGGGAACCTTAAACCATGAAGGCCCTCTTTCTGTTCACCGTGCTCTTCTGTTTGGTCCAAATGAATTCAGGTAAATATCTCCTGGTTTGGGGGGGTGGGGAGCTGCTCTCGGCCAGCAGGGACGAGCGGGGAGAGGCCGGGGGAGGCGGGGCAGGAATCCACTGCCGCGTGGGGCCGCGTGTTGTCAGTGGGCGCGGGCGGGCTCCTCTGGGGCTCAGCTCTGGTCCGTTTTCATCGTCCCTACAGAGAGGTTTTTAAAAGCTAAATGTGCGTTTTCGGGGGCATAACATCAGACAAAGGGGCATGTTTGCTCTGATGCAAATAGGAAGCATTCACTGCCGTCTGGGAAAAGTTTGCGGAAGGACATAGGCACGCGAATGTCAGAGCTGACTGAACAGAGCTCGGCGGCAGCCCCGGACTTCACAGGGGACACGGTGCGGCCGTGCAGTCAGCAGTTACAGTCACGCAGCTCTTCCCACGGACAGCAGCCTTCCCCCGGCTTCCACAGAGAGCCGAATCCACAGAGGGAAACCGAGGCACAGCCAGCTGAAGGAATCGTCCAAGGAGGAATAGGTAGTTCCCGGAAGAAGGAAGACTAGTCCGGATCTCGGATCCCCGGGCTGTGGCTGTTCCATCTTCATTCGATGGCGAGCCCGTGTCCTCACTTGGTGGTCCTCTCCAGGCCAGGACAGAGCCGAAATGACACGGGATCATAGCGTGCACCCCCTTTGGAGCTGAGATTTTGTGCAAGGTTGCATTTTTAACATACCCACTCTGTGGGTGTTTTGGCTTTTTGGGTTTTTGAGTCATGATTGATGGCATTTGCAGACAGGACATAAGGCCTTTCTTTCAACCATCTCATTCCCAAATAGAAAAGGCTTTCTTTTTTTAACAGAGGTATAATCGATATACAGGATTACACTGGTTTCTGGTGTACAACGTAACGAGTCCACATTTGTGTACGTTGCAAAATGATCGCCACGGCAGGTCTAGTCAACACTCCCACTGTCTTCGGTGGTCGTTCCATCTTTCTTTTCTTGTGACAAATAGAAATGCTTTCTTTACAGTACACTGGGTGGTTGTGCTTGACCTGCACGTCCACAAGTCATGACGTGGAGAAAGGTTTTCTCTTCTTTTAGTTGTAGGCTGTAAAACTGAAAATTAGGCCACAAGCTGAGACTCAGAACTATGTTTAACTCTCCTAGAGACCAAGACCCACCCCTCCAACCATTGTTCTCTGTGTGCAGGAAGCTTGAGAAACCTGATAAAATATAGCAACATATAAAAACATGTATATGTTCCTGGCAACATTCTGAGGTGTCGACTTCTGTCCCTGTTTTAAAGCTGAGAAACTGAAGCCCAGTTAAATGCAACCTGTGCAGACACTTCACTTCGTAGGAACGCAGTAATCGTTTGAGGCTGGCCTGTGGGCAGGGTCGTCCTTCATGCTTGTACTGTATGAACTGAGTATCAACTCTATTCTATTGTGTCAATAGGGGATGTTCCACCTGGAATTAGAAACATTGTCTGCCTTTCGCAACATGGAACCTGCAGACTTTTTTTCTGCCATTCTGGTGAGAAAAAGGCTGACATCTGCTCCGATCCCTGGAATAGGTGCTGCCTACCCAACACAGAGGGGACGAGAAAAGAGAAACCAGAGACCGATGACGGACCTAGTACCTGAACTGCAAGCTTCAGAGGCAGGCAGGATCTTGAAGTGTCCTAAGGGGTTAGAAGAATGCATAGCTTATAGTAGTAGGTGCGTACATAGTAGGTGCTCAACAAATGTTTGTTGAATGAATCCAGCACCAAGGATGAAATTCTGAGAAAAGATTTTCTTTGACTATACAGTTCAACTTACTTGAATAAAATCAGAACGTGCACAGCATAGGCCGTGGTAGCGTCTAAACTAAAACAATGAAAGTTTGCCAACGTTGCCTTTTTCTGTTTTGTTTTGTTTTTTCAAGAGTCTCATAATTTTATAATATCCACCTCCTTTCCCTGTTCCAGGAAGTGTCCCTTAACCTACTCACAGATGGGAGTAGACCAGAAACCGAGCTGCAAACTGATCCCTGCTCCAGGGAGACAGAAATGCAGTCAGTCTGCTGGCCTCTTGTCAAATTAATGACATTTTTGCTCTCATCAAACCCAACCCCAGCCTCATCCTACTGACTTGCAGACCTTCAGGAGCCTTGGCCCCTTTCCACGGTCTTCTCAAGTAACAATGCTGATATGTCACACATAAATAGGCTTTTAAACTGTCAAACATTTACTCTCAGGTTATCTCAGCTAGTTAACACGCAGTCTTATGGGGTGTGTAACCAGGTGGAAGCGGCTCCAGCTCAGGGATGAAAGGAAATGAAAATCAGACGGTTAAGTGAACTGCCCCAGGTCAGCAATTCACGAGGGGGATTCTGGGCGTGCCTGGCCCATAAAGTGCTCATTGTTCTGTTACTTCTCAAGGACATGTTTCTGAGCAAACACAGCGAGGCAGGGCTCTTGTTCACGAAGACTCCTTGGCGCTCACAGCCCGTTGTCCTTTGCTTTTCTCTGGATCCTGCTGAAGCTTGCCACCCGTATGGTATCTTGGAGCCAGTCATCCAAAGAGCAGTGTATGTTAATCACACGAAAGAATAGTAAAGGCAGCTGTGCTGATGCCGGAGACCTCGTGCCAGGCGCCCGAGACGAATCAGATGCCTGATGAGGTTCCTGCTCGCAGTGTTTCCAGTGCCTCCTGCAGTACGTTCGCTGCTTGAGTCCCGTTTGTTCACAAGCGTGCTGAACTTACTTTGAGAGTCACCTCGAACACCTGCTTCCGGGCTCCTTCTCGGGTCCTCGCTTCAGTGCGCACCTGGCATGATGCCTTGGCCTCCCCCGAGGCTCCCCGAAACTCACTCTTGGTTGTTTTCTAAATATAATCAGACAGACGCATGGGGTCGCGTGGAGCAGAGCCTCTCACGATCACAAACATCAAGGGTGGAATCTCTGTCGTCCCCTCAGAGGGCCGGGGACCTGTTCCAGACCCGGGGTGCGCACCCGCCCAGGAAGGGAGCCGACCGGGGCCTAGCTTCAGCTCCCGAGTGGCAGGACGAGTCCCTAAGCTTCGGGACAGGCGGACACACACACACACCCCCCCCCCCGCCAGGAGCGCTGTCACTCCCCATCCGAGCTGTCCGCGCACTAGGGATTGCAGAGCAGACACCTCTTCCTCTGACCCTGTGCCGTTCGCCAGCCAGGCCCTTCTCCTGACTTTATTTTCCTCAAAAATAAAGTGAGGGGGCTGGTCTAGACCCCTGCGGCCCAGCACAGCCTCCCGTGGGGGCGGGTGTGGAATCCCAGCCTCAGCCGGGCTCCGGGAAAGGCGGCGGGAGGCGCCAGCCCACCCGGGACTTCGGCGAGTCTCTCCTCCCGGTGGACGTGGGGCTGGGAGCCTGAACCCTCTACTGGCCCGACGATGGGCTGGGCCCTTCCTGGCGGTGGCCCTGGGCCCTGGGCAGCCAGTGGGGGGCAGAGGGACCTGACTGGGTCCCAGGGGGGTCCAGTCTTCTCACATCCTCCATCGCTCCTTTTCCTGAGATAAATGTAATTATTCCCCCACTGCACCTCTCAGAGACTCAGCTCCCTCTTCTGAGATGGCTCAGTGAGTGGCCAGGAATGACAGGGGCTTGCCCCCCTACAGTCCGACAGGCTCAAACACCCCTTCACCCCTACCCCCCAGGGTCCTCCCTGCGCCCCGCACAGCGGGATCTAGTGCTGCAGCTCTGTGTGACCCCGTTTTAGGATGTCTCTGTGCTGCTGTTCCTCGCTCACATGTCTGTTCATCCTGCTGGACTTTGAAACCCTCAGGTCAGGTCTGGGTCTTACTCCTGCGTGTAACTTTAGTGACCATCAAGCACAGACAATGCAAAATAGGTGAAGGAATGAAGTTTTAAAAAATTTTGGGGGGATGGTAATTAGGTTAATTTATTTATTTTTAATGGAGGGCCTGGGGACTGGACCCAGGACCTTGTGCTACCTACCGCTGAGCTACACCCTCCCCTAGGAGTGAATAAATTAATCCAAGCTTCAAACGCAGGTCTTCTTCAGTCCACCACTGCTGTCCTTTCTGACCCAAGGACAGGACATGGGAGCCACCAGGGGACAGGGACACCCCACTGTGACTGTGGCCACATCCCAGTCACAGCCTACAGCCTGCCTCCCCATCTTTTCTCCCACAACTGGCCAGAAAGTGGGGCAAAGCCCCCACTAGCTCTGCTCTGACACACCACGCACAGCTGAGCTCATGGACCATCACTTGCAAGGGTTAACCGCTCCCCGCTGTGGACAAGAAGCAGCCACGAAGGGCCCTCCTGGATCCTGAGCCTCCACAACAGGCGTTTGCTTGCCGTCTCCCACTGCACAAAGACTCAAAGCCCAGAGTTCTGGTCCTGCACCTGCCATCCTGGCCAGGCTCCTCGTCTGTCACCTGGGCATGTGTCTGTATCTGCCGCTTTCTCATTCCTTGTGAACGCTAGAGGATGGGGACCAGATGGGTGATTAATTTTGTCATCTAATATTTGGATCCTCTTGATTCAAAGAAGACATAGTAAGAGTGATTTGAGATTGCTTTTCAACATGGAAATAGTAACACATCACATTTGAATACCTGTGGGTGGAGTTACTTAGTGATCGAAACACAGACATGCATGTGTGTGGACACATTTACACCAGCTCTTCCCCTGTACAATTAAAGCCCGAGTGGATTTTTAAACCACCCATGGGTGAAACAGTCCATCACCTGGTTCATGTCTGTCATCTTTTGGAGCTCATCTGAACTCCCCAGACCCAGGCACTTGCCCTCCCCATGTCTTGAGATCTTTGAACACAGATAAACCACATATAAACTGTCTCTCACGGAGAAAGGTGAAAAGCTCATCCCATCACCTGCGTCTGAAGGTGACTTTTGCCACCAGATGGCCCCCCCGGTGACAGCACCATGCTGGGGATGTGGGCACACTAGAACCATTAACAACCTGTCAGGCCAAGCCTACCCCCTCACACTGAGCATGGTCAGGCAGCTCAGGTCCCGCAGAGCAGTGATCTGCCGTCTAAAAAGCATGCTGTCCTTCGAGGCACTGCAACAATAAAGGGGTGAGGTGGAATTTTGACAAAGCAAACAAGTAAACCCTTCAAAATACTTCTTTTGTGAGGCCATAGGTCGTACACGTTAACCATCATGTTGTAATAGCTCAGCCTATTAAAATTCTTTGGGAACTGCCTCCAGAATCCTCCTCCATGAAACACAAACAATGTGATCTTTTCAGAAAGAACTGAGTTGAGCATGATCATGTATTTGGGGCCAGAAAACTGAGACCCCTGGAATCTCAGAAACCCCCGTGGTCCTGGGCTCCAGCTCTCGCTCGGGGTGAAGTCAGCATCCACCAGGCTCAGAAGACTGAGCCCTCCACGGCCCTCAGAACAGCTGGAGGCCAGACGAACCTGCGGGTTCCAGCCTTCCTCCCTGTGGGACTCCAAGTGTGTACACAGGAGACAGTCACATGCCTCACCTACAGGGAGATGTGGGCCTCTCCCGGCTAAGTCTGAGCGTTCACGCGGCACAGGCCAGTGAAGTCACTGGGCGTCCAGTTCCAGAGGAATTCTGGTGCTGGAGGTTGAGGGACCAGGTACGTTCTCAAAGTCTACTTGGCAGTGCCATCTCTACTGGCTACGTGGCGCTTACTGAACGCTTCCTCTGTGCTGAGCGCTTGCACGCGTTTATCTCGGTTAACGGAAGGAGCAGGCACGAATATGCCTGCAACACAGATGAGACACGCAAGGCTGAGATGCGAAGACACTGACCCACGGTCACACGGCTCTAGGGGAGGCCTCTGCTCACACCCGCCCAGGGGCCAGCAGACATCTTCACTACGCCTGCTTTCAGGTTTCAGAGGCTTGCCTGAAGCCGTGTAGCCAGTTGATGGTGGACCCGGAGAGGGCCCCGGTTTGACCGGTCTTCCCGTTAGCCCGTTCCTCCATCCTATAAACGCCATCAAAGGCAGGGGAAGGGGTGTGTGCTCAGCCGCCCC